CCCCAAACACACACACACACACACACACACACACACACACACTCACTCGTTTTGTTGCCAAACATTTCCTGCCACGTCTCGTTTTAATGCACAATTAACACCCCAATGCTGCAGAACAGTGTGTGTTTCACAAAATGAGCACTAAGCGACGTCGGTGTGCAGCCCGGCGCTGATGTTTACGTGCACAAAGGAAACCGGGTTGCTGGGAGACCTTCGTTGACGTTTAACTTCTATCATTCACAAAGCCGGATTGAAGAAACCTTTCCAGTGACGCAAGTCTTTTTTTGTGTGTGTGTGTGTTTTTCCCTGAATGCATACGTGTGCAGATGCCTCTGACTCCACTGACGTTTGAGCGACGCTTTGTGAAAGGAGGAATTCAAAGCTTCACAGCGTAGCGCTTAACCGCGAGACGCTGCAGCAGAGCTTCCGTTTGCATCTTCAACGGGAAAACTCTTCTTAAAATGTGCCGAGCGGTGAGGCGGCTGAGCCCCGTGAACGTTCGCCGTGCAGCATCGTCTCTGATCGCTCTGTAGCACTCTGTAGTGTGGTGACCGCTGCACCCTTTCCCCTGTGAAAAGTTCCAAGAGGTGTACTAGACAACAGCACGTAGACCTTCTGCGTCTCTCTCTGTCCCAACAGGAAGTAGCCAGACGTTTTGTCACGGTGACCTTTTGCCCCGTTGGCTCGGCAGAGATGCGCTCCGCTCAGGAAGCCGGGACTCGGGTGGATTAAGAGGCGACCTGCTCCTTCATCGCCCACGTCCGCGCTTCAGAGCCGGTTGACCGTCATAGAAGGGAAGTCTGGTCGTTTACGGACTGCTGTGCTTCACCTGCCGCTTTTTAGTTCCGGCTCATTCTGCCAACGCTCGCCGCTACGCGCTTTCCTTTCAGTGTAAAGCTGACAAAGTGTCCCACTGGTGATGGGAAGGTGGCTCTCCCTCCATACGCCAGCTGTGCTAACCCGATCCGACGGGTCCCCGCTTACCTGGAGGTGAACCTGATCCTGCTAAATACTGCAGCGGGAGTTTGGGCTCCGGTTTCGCCCCCCCGAAGGCCGATGTCACCCAACTGCTACGGCCATTAATGGTTTGAAGCAGCGGCCTCGCGGCCGTTGGGCCTGTGGGAGGAAACCAGAGCCCCGCCGGTGCCGAGGCCCTGAAAAACAAAATGTTGCCACATGGGAATGCAAAGCTTTTTTCTCCTCTCTCTCCGACACGCGGAGCAGACGTTTGGTTTGAGCGAATGTTTGGACTGCGTCCCTGCGTCTGGTGGACGCACGAGAGCGCCGGACCCGCGGAGGCCGTTGGCTCCGGCTCGCGCTATTTCCAACACGTGGTCGCCAGCAAATACTGGAGCGGAGACGTGGAGACTGCTGCTCGTCCTCGACCTCTTGTCTGAGCGGCAGGAAGTCATTTGGACAAATGGGTCCATTACAAACTACTTCTGCTGGCTAGACTTTTCGATCTGTACATCGTAAAGTAGTCCATATACTTTGGTAGACGCCATGGGGGGGGGGTTATTTTATTATAAGTGGGGCAGTTGCCGACCTTCTGATCCCCTAAACACAACGGGAACGAAGCCCAGGAAGCCGTCTGACCCAACGCTGCCCTGCATGAACCACGTTCTGTAAATGATGGAGGCTCTGCGGTTTGTTAGCGGTGCTGCCGTTTCTCTCGAGGTGCAGGACTTTGAATAATGCAGCAGCGGCGAAATGCGACGCGAGCGAGAGAGAACCAGACGAGGTCCGAGGTTGTACTCCACCTTCTTAAGAAGCGTCTCTTTTCTCTTCTAGTTCTTTTCGGCGCTTCCATTCTTTCCCTTTTCATATCCTCGTCACCTCGTTACTGCTCCGCTTTTTGTCCCTTTCCCAGACCCCCAGTCTCTCCCTCCCTTCAGCCCCGGTGGGAGTAGTTGAATCTGTTGTGAATGTGATGAATGTCTCTTTATTTACTGGTCGAGCAAAAGCCCCAGTGTGGTTTTCTTGCACGAGTTAATTGGGAGCCACGTTGGTTTTAATAAACTCAGAATACGGCATGAAACGCGGAGCAGGCCCAGAGGAATGCTGCTCTGCATTTGCTGATGGGGAGGAAACTGAGAGGGGGGGAGACGGGGGGGGAGGGAGGGAGAGCTTCCTCGAGTCCCAGGGGGAGAACGATGCGATGAGGAGCAGCATGGATTCATAGGTAGAGGGATGAGATGGTGACCTCATTGGAGTGCAGATACAGAAATAACAAATGACGAGCCGGTGTCTCGCGTGGTCGGTTACACCCTCGGGTGCTTTACCTAATTCGCTGTCTTTAAAGGACTGATGAACAAATGCAAAAGCTTTGATGTTGAAGCAACCTACACGTCAAGGGGATCAGCAAATATCGAAGCTATTAAACAAACAACTTCCAAAGCAAACGCTGCAGCATCCAGCACCATGCAGGATGGATGACTACGTTACCAACACGCAAAGAACCTCTTTCAAGGGTTCAATTCGAGTCACGTTCCCGATCTGATGTTCCTGATATCACTTGAACAACACGAGCTGCTGATGGATGTAAACCAGTTTATCGTCACGGGAACCAGTACGAGTGGTTAGGGCTCTGTGGGAGGGGTCAGTGGCTCTATGTGGGAGGGGTTATCCCCATGTGGGAGGAGTTAGCTCTGCTCCAAGAGTTGTTTTCATCTTTTGCGCTACTTGGGGAAACCGTTGGGAGAGATCTCCATCGCTCTCCCTCCTCCCTTCGGCAGCTGTTTTCCTGCCTTGGCCGAGCGCTGGAGCCAGGCTGTCTCACCCCCCCCCCCCCCTCGTAGACTTCATACCGGGCAGCGAGTGTTTCCCCCGTTGCTAGGCGCCGCCTGTGATCTCGTGTTCACGTTGCCGTGTGAGAGCCGCCTGACTGTTTTTTTTTCTTTTTTTCGGAGAAGCTCTTTCATGGTGAGACGTCTCTCCTCCTCTGAGAAGTCGCTCCACCTCTTCGTCACTGGCGCGTCTCTCCTCCAAGTGATGTTAAAACAAGCGCTCCTTCTTTTTTCAGTAGTAGGTGACACGTGTGGTTGCCACATCGGAGGCGTTCCGCACGCCGCTATGAAAACCTGCTTCTGACTCCAGTCGATCCGTCGATTCCCCCGCGTTCCGCCTCTGAATGTCTCCCATACGGAATTCAGCGCGGCGAACCGCCCGGCGTGGAGCCTCACATGTGAGTGATGTCGAGGTGGGAGGGAGGGAGTTGATTGACAGCTTTCTGGATGGTGTTCCACGGCTGCACCCATCCACTTCAGTCCTGACTCATAATGCAACCGGAGCCGAGTGGGTGTGCGTCTGGAACGAGTCCCTCATCCCTTATCTTGGGTCTTTATTTTGTGTTGCTAACTGAGGCCTAATAAACCGTAATGTGTGTCCAACCTCACAACATCTTAAACTACATCCCGGCATCTCAGACGCTGCGATGGAAGCCGAGTAGATCCAGTCATCGACTCGCGTCGTCCACCGTCAGACTCCGCCGCGCCCAGAATGAGTGCGAGCTTTTCTCAAGTGTCTCGGTGGTGATGAAATGAGAATGCCGCCATGTGATGCGACCTTTGGCTTGATTCCATCCCGCTGGCGACTTCGGGCCGGCTCGCCGCCGCCACGCGCCCACGTCCTCGACGAAAGGGAACGCTCCGCTGTCCTTTGTTGTCCTCTGCTGCGTCACATGTGACTCTTTGGCCACACGTCTGTGGCTGGAAGTGGAGGGAAAAAAAGGCCAAAGAGTATTTTCTGCGGTGTGACCGTTTTCGTGCCATGAATCACCAAAAAAAGAAATGTAATTTACAGTTTAATCTACAAATATTGGAATCTATATATGCAACATACGCTTCCCTCTACGTTCTGTATTCATTGAACTGGGTACAAAATGCAGGATGTTTAGATGCTCTTCGCTTTGACTAAAGTGTTGGTAGCTTGTGATGTGTTCAGCGACCGCAGGAAAGATGACAATCTGACAATAGGACCTGTTTTTACAGCTTGTGGCTGTGATGACTGATTAGACGGGTTCAGGGAGGGAATGTTTCATGCTCTGAACACACACACACACACACACACACACACACACACTGTCTGGGGAGCGTCGTGCACCTACGTCCGTGCGTCGTCACCCCCCCCAGCTGATGTTCCAACATCTGTGTGCTGATAAGACTTCGTGCTTTAAACGGGGGCTTCTTCAAAGTTGCGTGCGTGTGACACGCTAACAATAGCAGTCACGCTACCGGCGGCCCTCGTTGTGCCACTGACTTCATTTAGGTTTTTTTTTGTGGAGCTTCTCAAGCGTTCCGATCTTCTCCTCCAATCACGAGCCATTTTATTTTTAAAGCGGCGATGAAACGGAAGCAGGATAATTATTTTGATTTAATCTGAGAGGCACGTCTCATCCCGTCTTTCCTGCACATCTTTATTTCTGTCCCCACCCGTCACTCACCCGCGTTCTCTGTGGACCTCACCCTTCTCCTCCCTTTTTCTAAAGGTTTCATTTACACGCTCAAACGTTTTTCCCCCAGTTGACTCGTAAACCCGCTGGACGGGTTTCCGTCGCTGCCGCGTCTCCTCGCCCAACTGCGTTTCTGCAGAGAAGTAATCAGCACTTGTTAGTCGGCCAACAGCACTGTGGGAGGGGTGGGCGCCGCGCATGAAGGCGCTCATGTGGCCTTCTTTGACCCGACGTGACGGGGTCACTCAACTGGGTGATAACGTAAAGCAACATTCTTGGCCAAAAAAAGACATCAAAGCCCGGTTGGCGTGTAATCGCCGCCCGGCCACGTTGCGGCATCATGTGGCAGCTGTAGGATCTGACTCACTCGGTCGGTGTCGACGGATTCATTTTTGAGGGCAGACAATTAGGCCACTTTGTCCTTTTTTGTCTCTAATCAGTGTTCCAAGCAGGCGGAGGTGAATTACAGCGTTCTGTCGGCTGCTTGTGAAAAGTCAGCTTTTCTTATAATGACCCTGAACTGATCCTTTTCTAATCTCCCCCCCTTCAGGAGTTCCCTCCGGCTGCCGGGACCCACCGTGTCCCCACTGTGCTCATGAGGTAACGTCCGGACCTAGTGCCCCCCTCATTACCACCCTCAGCCCTCCCCCCCGCCCCCCCTCCGGCCTCTCCACCCCTCGGACCACCATGGGCCAGAAGATCTCCGGCAGCATCAAGTCGGTGGATGTGCGCGGCGAGCCCTCGTATCGGCCGGTGCGCCGCGAGCTGCGGGGCCCGGATTTCTGCCGCCCCCCCCGGCTGGACCTGCTGCTGGACATTCCGGCGGCGAGCCCCGAGGCCCAGCTCCGCCACGCCTGGAACCCCGACGACCGGTCGCTCAACGTCTTCGTGAAAGAAGGACGACAAGCTGACGTTCCACCGCCACCCCGGTGGCGCAGAACACGGACTGCATCCGCGGCAAGGTGGGCTACACACGGGGGCTCCACGCCTGGACGGTCCACTGGCCGGCCCGACAGCGGGGCACCCACGCCGTGGTGGGCGTGGCCTCCGCCGAGGCCTCTCTGCACTCGGTGGGCTACACGGCGCTGGTGGGCGCCGACTCCGAGTCCTGGGGCTGGGACCTGGGCCGCAACAGACTCTACCACGACGGCAAGAACCGGCCGGCCTCCGCGGCGGCGCCCACGTACCCCGGCTTCCTGGCGCCGGACGAGTCCTTCGTGCTGCCGGACTCGCTGACCGTCGTACTGGACATGGACGAAGGGACGCTGAGCTTCATGGTGGACGGACAATATCTGGGTGTGGCCTTCAGGGGCCTGAAAGGCCGGAGACTGTTTCCCATCGTCAGCGCCGTGTGGGGGCACTGCGAGGTTTCTATTCGCTACGTCAACGGGCTGGATCGTAAGTGACACACACGCGCACACACACACACACACACACACACACACTGTAGTTCCATCAGCTCTGCTTTCACCATCTCCCTCTGCGTATTGGGATCAATGGTAAAAGGCTCTGATGGAGTTGGGTCACACCCCAGGAGGTCCGTTCCTCCTCCTGCTGCTGCTGGTGTTTTTAAGTCTACTTAAAGGTGTGGTCACCCGCTTTGCGCCACATGACCAGGAACTCCCAGGAAAAGCCCCGTCAAGATAAGAGCATCGGAGTGGAGACGGAAAGAACCGCGTTGACTTTAATGAATCCGTCCTGTGTACGAGTGTTAAAAGGTGTGAAGAGCTAGAAGGTGCTGCTGTGGGTGATGCGCATGCACTTTGTGTACTTATGGGGGAGCTGTGAAGACCAGCAGAGAATGCTTTAGGGCGGGGCTTACTGTGATTGACAGCCACCAGAGCGGAACGTCTTTCTTTCTCAATGTTCCTCTCTGCTGCTCTTTCCTTTTGTCAGGGCGACACACACACACACACACGTTTTAACAGCGAGGCACAGGACTGTGTGTGTGTGTGTGTGTGTGTGTGTGTGTGTGTGTGTGTGTGTGTGTGTGTGTGTGTGTGTGTGTGTGTGTGTGTGTGTGTGTGTGTGTGTGTGTGTTGACAGCAGGAATGCTGGACGACGTCCCAGTGTGCCTCTGAGCTCAGCGTCTGGCCCTCCGTAGTGGGAAACATTGAGGGGTTTAAGCTTTAAGAGGAACTGCTGCATATGTCTTTGTGTCTCCAGTGACATAACTCCACTTATCTAAAGCAGATTGTAAATTGGCTTATTTGATGAAATTGCACTTGTTTCTTGCCATTCTGAGTTTGCATCCCGACGGCTGAATGCACTTAGTCTGAGAAATCGCCTCAGGTAATGTCACTAGTTAGGTCAACTTTACATTGTTTATATATTTCTAACCTAACATTGTGGGCGATTTCGGTGAGGAGGAGGAGGAAGAGGACAAGGTCTGTGGCTCAGCTGCATGGATTGTTGTTTCCTTTCTGTCGGCATCTTTCAGGTAGAATCCGGACTCTCTGGTCCCTCCTCAAACCACGACATGATCTCCATCCTCTCGGCCTCAAGTGCAAATCCAGACTTAAGCCAACTCATGAGCCCGAACCCTGCTGCCACGATACCCTCACACTCCCCCGTCCAGGGGGTGGGGGCTTATTCAGCTCGCCTCATTGGCTAATGTACATCACATAGGAACCAATGAAACGATTCCTTTTAGAGGTCAATCGTTGTTTGGGTTTTTGGATATTTAGAATCATTCTGATCATATTCTTATCAATGACTCTTCCCTCTCACAGTGCGCGTTGAGCGCAGTCGGATTAACCCAGTCAACCCCCCCCCCCCCACCGAGCAGCAGGAGACCTGACTGATGGCCGTCCTGCTTTGGTGGGGGGGGAGGAATCACCGGTTGCATTCAGTGATTGGTTTCCTCTCCCGAGTGGCTGATCCCATTTGGACACCGGCGGCTCCAATCTCACACACACACACACACACACACACACAGAGTCCCCGACCCCCCACGGCTGGTCTCGCTTCCCTCCTCCAAGTTCCTATCTTATACATAATTGATTTAATTCAGTCCGTCCCTTTATAATGCCCCCCCCCCACTTCCTCCCCTTTGACCCGTCGGTGAAATGACTTTGGGGACGTCACTGAATATGTAGGACGCACACCTGTGTTCTTAGAACTAGGCCAGACGGCCCGCCTGTGTGTGCGTTGCCATCGTGTATTCGTGGTCTCACCTCAGTGACTGCAGACCCCCCCCCACCCCCCTCCCCCACGATGAAGTGTCTGACTGCCAGCCAGACGGCTTCTGCAGTCCAGCGCACTTCCCCACCCTCCAAAGACTTGAGAGGGCAGAGACGGGGATGAGGGATGACGATGGGGGACGGAGGGCTGCCATGTACGACGGCGATACGAGCCGGCGTTAAATAACTGAAAACCGTCTCTGCCAACGCCACGGCGCCACCCTCCATCCTGTCGGCGCCGGCTGTCATCCTCTTACTTCTGGCTCTTTTCTTTCCTCCTCGTCGGCGGCGATGATGCTGGCGGGTAAAACACGGAGGAAACGGGGAGTACGTGTTGTGCATAAACTACACGTGCTCGCTTAGTGGATCGTGCTCCTCCCACAGAACATGAACGCCCTCCACCAGAGAACCTGATGTCTCTGCCAGTGGATTCTGATCACCTAGTTAAAAGCATCACGTCATATTCTAAGTCTGAATCGGGTGTTTGATGCTGGCGGGCCATGGCGTTGTCCCATGGCGGGACGAACTGGTTACTATGGAAACTACCTATATGCGTAAGGTTAAGACTGATTAATTGCTGTGAGCTGATTTTTTTTTTTCCAGACTATCAGTAATCTCATGTATTTAGTTTCCCATTTTAGCAAAGCGATCTGAGCCAACCTGAGATCTCTTCTAGAGGCTCTTATTCTGAAATGCCCTTCCACAGGAAGTAAAGCGGATGTTGTTTCAGAACACCGAGCCGCCGCCTTGATGTGGTTTTAATATCCCCAGACCCCACGGGATCCGTTTTCAACGGCCCTTTCTTCGGTTTAATGCTGATTTTTAAAGTTTGACGCCGTGAACTATTGATGAAGCAGTTTCAGGGTCTTTTGTCAAAACGACGGCGCCATCAATAAATCATAGCATGAAGCCTCCGAGCGAGCCTGTGATGTCTCATGAATAAAACCTCTATGCAAACAGGCAGAAGCCAGTCAGGAGGGTGTGTGTGTGTGTGTGTGTGTGTGTGTGTGTGTGTGTGTGTGTGTGTGTGTGTGTGTGTGTGTGTGTGTGTGTGTGTGTGTGTGTGTGTGTGTGTCAGCAGCAGGATTTCAGCCCCACCAGATGGTGCCTCCAGGTGGAGCAGCTTGACATCACGGCTGTATGGCAGTTTAGAGTCTGTTTCTGTTGGGACACACAGACATCACTTGCCTCCACAGTTTGTGGGGGTGTTGTGTGTGTGTGTGTGTGTGTGTGTGTGTGTGTGTGGTGTTGCCACGTTAGTGCTGCTTCTCTCTCTGCTTGTAACACGCAACCGAGGTGCTGATTAAATATTCCTGGTGTCACCGCACTTCTCCGTCACCAGGTGAAGGGAAGACATTCGACCCCCCCCCCCCCCCCCAAAAGCCCGGCGGCCATTAGCCCGGTCTGGAACGGCCCCGAATGCACAGAACGGGTCTCCATGGCAACGTATACGCCACTGCTTCGCGTGGCGCCAAGTCGCGCTGACCAGACGGATCCTTTGCGTGAGCCGCTGTTCAGGTGGAGGGGGAGAGCGTATGAACAGGCCTGTTTAAAAATGATGAATAAATATTCATGTGTCTCTCTGCCCCCTCCCCCCCACAGCGGAGCCCCTCCCCCTCATGGACCTGTGCAGACGAGTAGCTCGACTGGCTCTTGGCAGAGAGCGCATCCATCACATCGACGGCCTCCCGCTGCCACAGACGCTGAAGAACTACCTCCAGTACCAGTGACCCCCCCCCCCCCCCACACACACACACACACACACACACACACACTGCGATTAGGGGGGTGGGGGTCTCCTCTGAGGCGTCGCGTTTTTATCTTCTGGTTTTGTTTCTTTTTCTTTTTTAAAGCCGGTCAATGAAACGAGGGACGAACGAAGACGCCGTCTTTTCTGCACGCGCTGCTTCTGAGACCATGCTTCCAACAACACAGCGGGCCATGTGGGGGGCCGGGGGGGGGGCTGTGTTGGTGGGTACACATGGATAACACAGTGTTTCATGTGTACACAAACACACTCTGCTGTCTTCAGTTGACAAGCAGGTGGTTTCCACCAGACCCCCCCCCCCTCTCCAGATCTCTGGCTCCTCATCACGTGCTGGTTTGATTTAAGCCTCCAGCATGTTTGAACGGGGGGGTGTCGCCTCTCTGGCTACTGTTAGATTACGATTCATCTGAAGATTGAAGCTGTGTGTTTGTGCTCTGTGAGACGGACACACACACACACACACACACACACACACACAGAGTACATGTCAACACCTCTGGTATGTCTCGCCCCCCCCCCCCTCCCCTCACACACACATCAAGTTTTTAATGCTGCTTTCCATCTTTTTATTCCACCGTTTTACACCGGTGTGGGTTTTTTGGGGGGTTTCATGAGATTTCTTTAGTGTTTACGTTCTTTTCTTCATTCCGCGGCTCGTGAGGTTTGTGGGTCTGCGGGACGTCGGCTCGCGGTCAGAAGTGTAAAGAACAACAAGTCCAATGTGCCGCCATGAGAATTTTTAAAATGTGAATAAAGAAACTCTGCTGAAGTCACCGTCTCGCTGTTGTTTTATACATTATAAATGAGATATTAAGGAGATCCTATTGCCCCCCCCCACACTCCCGCCAGATGCTGGGTGGTTTTCAGTGTTGAGGCGAGATTAGCCAGCTGTAACCCCCCCCCCCCCCCCTTAAACACAGATTACTGTTGTTGAAATAACATGAAATCCATTAGTGTCTTGTATCAGCGCTGGTTGTGTTGATTAATGACAACCCCCCCCGCCCCCCCCCCTGCCCTCCACCTTTCCTTCCTCCTTCCAGATGGGGGGTATTATAACCACAGGAACGACGGAACATCAGATCTGCTGCTGCTGCTGAAAGAGGTTGTTTCCTCTCATACCACCTTTTTTCCTGAAATGGTGCTCTGGCAAGTTATACCCCCCCCCCCCTTGCATACATGTCATACATGTGCATGTGTGGATTTGCATGACGACTTCAGAGGGCCACAGATGTTCCCTGGTCCTCACGGGGAGAAGGTCCGCTTCTCGAAGTGATACCTTCTGTGACCTGGAGGAGAAAGGATCAGATCAGCTGTTCAGAGCTGGAAGGTTTCTGCTGTGCTTCATGATTCACTCACTTTGACCTTCACAATCCAAGTATTTAGCACACTTCACGTGTGAGATAAACGGACCTGAGGGACCAGGGGTCACGTACCAGTTTCATCTGACGCTTTGACCTCATGGATAAATCCCTCATGTGAAACAACGACTCAGATCCCGTGACGTCGAATCTCCAACTGCTGAACTTAAATACCTCGTCTAGTTCCTGCACTGGACATTTTCAATGTGTTCAATTCCTGATGACGTCGGAGGGTTCGCGATCTTCCCGCTACACGGTGTGTAAATGCGCAAGCGGCCAATGACCGAAGGGGCTCGGCGATCACGTGACTTTGGTGGGGGTGGGGGGGAGGGAGTTCGTACGTCCCGGTGAACGGCGGTGATTGACGGTCCGCAAATCCATAAAACGCAATCACCTGTGAGCCGGTCTGCACATAGTGACGTCACACGCGGCCTGGACTCGGGGGTTGATCAGCTGGTCGAGTGGGGTTCAAGCGTTTGCCTCGTGACTGCCGCCCCCCTGTGGCGACGCGCGCTCACTACAACAACAACAACGCCGCTTTCGCGCGTGAGAGGACGACGACGACCGGACGTCTGTTCGAGGTGTCACTGCCGCTCGAGGCAGTGGGATCATAGGGGGGTTAATATATATAATATATTATTAGTTGTTCAGTCCTGTCCTTGTGAAAGGCTTCGCAGGAATCGGTAAATACATGACGTCAGAGAGCTGCAGAGGCATGACGTCAGTGCCGTAGAGGCTCAATGCATTCAAGTTGTGAAGGAATAAACGCACTCTAGTTGTGTCTCATGTGTTTGAATAACTTCAGACTAATAATCCAGAAGGATCAAAGGTGGATCCGCTCGGGATCCCGCGGTCTATTTCTGTGAGTCGAGGGTGGAGGTGACGGTGCCCCCCCCCCCCCCCCTGTGTGCAGGGTTTCCCACGTCCGCTTAATGGAGACCAACTATTCCTTATGGGTTCATAATCTCCCTCGTGGTTCCCGAGTTGAAGTTGTTTTTAGACAAAAAAAAGGAATTATTTTTTCCACAGACCATCGAAAGATTCTTCATTTGGGCCTTAATGACAATTACCATTGTCTGGTTTTTAAAATACTACTATAAATGAATTTTGACATATACCATATTAATTTAAATGGATTTCCTATTGCCCGGCCATAGGGAAAAATCAATATAATAGGGTTTTTGGACGCGGTGAACCTACTGTACGAATAATATATCACATGCTATAAATTGAAAGGGAACTTCCGACTTTTGGTATCCCTCGCAAAAGCCTCGCCTCGCCCTTTTTATTCCCTTTTTATTGAAAGATCGTTAGAAAGGGAGAGTCTAATAAAACCAATTCATATGCAGCCTGATTCGTACACACGCACACACGAGCCACAGCTAGATTCCAAAACAAGTTTTTATTGGCCGATTTACAGAAAGTGCTGCAGTGACCATTCCAAAGAAAAGCCGACCAAAGAGTCCAGAGAAAAAAAGAACTTTTACACATTTCACAAGGTCTCCAAGTTAATCTCATCGTCCCCCTCTTCTAGAACCAACGTCAGGACAACAGAAGGGCTGATGCAAAATCCACCAGGGGAGGGAGCATGGGGGGGGGGGGGGATGTCACAAGAACAGGTGAAACTCTTAAACAACACACGAGATCCTGACATGAAGACACACACACACACAGAGGAGGTTCTCCCAGCGGCTACACCACGTCAGAGCCCCCCAGGGTGCCAGAGGGGAATGCCCTTCTGATGTGAAGTCTCGGCCTGTGGGACTGCGGACGAAGAGGGTTCAAGTGGCGCCACGTTACTTTGGATCTACGTGTCCATTGATGCTGCACTTCACTATGGGGGACAGAAGTTGTAGTTATTATACTTTATATTGATGTGATAGAAATAAATAGAGGCTTTATGTTTTAGACCTAAAAGTCTTCTATTAGATTAAATCTTTGATATAAAGGATTCTTTAAAAAAATAAAACTAACATTAATAATAAATAACATTTAAACAATTTCAGTAAAAAATAAAACTAGAATAATTTGAGTTAAAAATAAGGTTATTGTGATTGATTGATTGATTTGACAGTGTCAGAAGGGACACCCCCCTTCCATGCAGCATTAACGAGGTCTGAGACGTCTCACACGGGCGGTGGCACCTCCACCCTCACCGGCCGGGATGACCTGAACACGGGAGGAGAAACTGGCCCCCCACAAAACATACAAACATGGTGAAGAGGGGGCGTGTGTTGCTGTTGTACAGGTGGAGAGGACGCTTCCAGGTGGAGAAAGTGGTGTCAGGGAGTCGAGTGGACCTACTATACTCAATATTTACAAGGAGCGTATAAAAATGTCCAAGGAGACTCCTGTTTACCCCCCCACCCAACAAAAAAAAACACCCCGGACCCCCGGGCTATATCACCATGACGACACCGATAAATGTTTTTCTTTTTTTTTTTTTGATTACCATTGAAAATATGCTATTTCTGAAAAATCCCCTGGCTGCGCCTCGTAGGCTGATAAATAACATGAAGTATACAAACCAAAAAATAGTCTGTTTCTTTACTCTTGCAACTCAGTTTTCTTAAATAAACGTTTATAAATCTCCCCGTGGAACACGTGACATTAAACTGAACATACATAGCAGGGTTCAATCGACAAAATGAGATTTAAAGAACTACATTTCACTAAAGACTGCGACGGGACAGAGGTGCTTTTAGGGTGCGCCCTTATTTTGGTGAGCTGTCCCCTTAAGACGGATAAAAGTCATTTGACAGACGAGCGGTTTTAGTTTTGTGTCTTTTTTGATCAGCTGTATAAAATGTGATTAGTTTTTGTTGTTAAATCGTTGTGTTGCAGTGGCGTCTTCCAGCAGGGGGCGCTGTGACCTCATTTTTAGAGCATCAACATTACATAGTCTTTGTATTTCAACCATCTGATTTGAGGTTTCAGGGGACGTGTTGCACATTGTGTGCACGTTGTGTGCGAGTGTGAGTGACTGTGAAGGTGCGTCTCAATAAGATATCGTTGTTTTGTCCCAGTTCTGTCCCCTCTTGCTCTGGCGTTGCATCCTGGGTAACTGGACGTCCGCTTCGTCTTCACTGTCGTCTGACTCGGCGCTGGTGATGTCATCGTCCTCCTCCTCATCATCTTCCTCATCCTCCTCCTCCTCCTCGCTGGCCTCCTCCTCTGCGGCGTGCGGCTGCGCCAGACTCTGTTCAAAGAGTTTCACAAACAGTGAAAACAGGAAATCGCCATGACAACATATCATTTTAGTCGCTCAAACACCTCCCACCTCCATCGGGTTGACCGTGATGGTCAGGGCGGAGTCGTCCCAGGTCTCCTCGGCGTCTCTCGCCGTCTCCGCCAGCTTGACCTCCTGCTGGTGGGTCAGGTGGATGCGGTAGACGCCCAGCACCATGACCGCCACCAGGGCGGCGATGCACATCACGATCGCCACGGTGGCGGCGCTCGGCGCGGCTGAGGGAGAGTGAGAATGTGTCTTCACGTTGCCTGAACGAGTCATTCCATGTGGTAATATGGGTGTGCAAAAAGAAAAGGACTATATAACTGTACGTATATATATCGTGATATATATCGTGATATATATATCGTGATATATAAATATATCGTGATATATATATAAATTTATATATATATAAATTTATATATATATATAAATCGTGATATATAAATAAATGCAGCAAATCACAATATATATGTATATATATATATATATATAAATTGTGATATATAAATATATCGTGATATCACGATTTATTTATATATATATATATATATATATATATATATATATATATATATATATATATCACAATATATTTATATATAGTGTAAATTAACCTAAGCTGCAGCCTTGTGACCTTTGATTACTGGATCTGCGTATTGATGTTCACGTCCCTCTTAGGTTAATTTAGGCCTGTTTCCACTGTATTTCTAGACCTGCTCTGATCGATCCCCCCCCCCTCTGGATTTATCTGTGCTGGCCGAGTGCTATGAGGGATCAGTGGGCTCGCCCGTCAATCACTTTGGTCCAGACTGAAATATCTCAGCAGCTATTGATTCCATGCCGTGGAATGTGGTTCAGTTCACTCGAGACGGATTTGTAAGAACTTTGCTGTGACTTTTCCTGGAGTGCAGTCATCACATTGAACAGAGACATGGGGGGGTGATGGGGGGGGGGGGGGGGGCCCCGGGAAATAAAAGAAAATTGGGTCTTTTTTCCCCATTAATTGGGGGTCCCCTAAAAAAAAGGGCTTAATTTCCCAGGAGCTCTCAAAATAATGGTGGGCTTAAACTTAAGCCCGTTGTTATGAGACACTGAGCTCGGGTCTTTTTAAGCTCGACCTCTGCTGCACGAAGCTCCATCACTCGTCCCGTGGTTAAACCAGTAGGAGGAATTAACTGACACTGTTCAGCGGTTCCAACATGAAGGAACTAAACTTGAGGCGCAGCAGCACGACGTACATTCAGGGATTTCTCTTGATGCAAAATGTTTCTCTCTGCTGCTCTGATCTCTAGCCTGCTGAAATGACACAAACTCTGTGTAACTACCCTCCCTGTGCTGGTCCCTGCTGGTACACGTGTGTGTGTGTGTGTGTGTGTGTGTGTGTGTGTGTGCGTTTAGCGAGAGGAAGCCTCACACACGACTCGTCAGAGGATCATTTGATTCAGGAGCTCTAGACTTTCACACTAAATACTCGGCCTTTGATCTTCCTCTCAGCAAAGCTCCATGCGGCCCCTTAGACACACACACACACACACACACACACACACGCGTGTTTCCTTTGACCATGTCCTCTACATAACGCATGACATCATGACGTGTCGGAACCCACGAGGATTCTTTCTCATCTGCAGTTTCTGCCATTCATTTATTTCCAACACTCTCTCTGCTCATCTGACCTCCTTTTCTCTCTCACACACACACACACACACACACACACACACACACACACACACACACACACACACACACACACACACACACACACACCCAACAGAAGTCTAAGTAGAATCCATCAGTGTAATGAATAATTGAAGGCGGTGTGGTAGATTAAGACCAATGTCTCCTCCTCGGCGTGTTCTCTTTAGCTCGGGTCACTCATGGCACCGAGGGGGGGTGGTGGTGGTGGTGGTGGTGGGTGGGGGGGGTGATGCCTCCTGCATCATTCCACCACCGAGCAGCAGTCACACAAACAAACCAGAGAGGGAAAGCCGGCGGAATCGCTCACGTGCGACTCTCACAGCTCCTCCCCCTCTGTGGCGTTTTAGCACTTTGCCGCATTTTTGTTCCCCAGAAGTGTGTCGACGCCACGTCCGTTGAAGCGGACCAACTCCAGGTAACATCCGGCCACATCTGGGCCACAGTTCCCTCTCGCTCACACACGGAGGGGGACGTCTCTCTTCGTCGCGGTAAACACGCTTCTGGTGAAGATGCTTTACGCTCGCAGAGCGAGAGGAAGAGGAGGAGGCGGAGTGACAGAGAGGATGACATCGCTTGTGATGTTGACGGGGGTGATTCATCCATTTCAACGTTATATATCTGTAGTTATTTTTACTTCTGTAACTCAGCTTTTACTTTTTTGTGTGTTCATCTCGCGGCAGTAAAACTAAAACAAACCAGTTTGTTTTCTTCTGCTGAAATTGAAGCAGCTCGTATGAGAGAACGACAAAGGCGACAAAAGCACACAAAGTATAAAGCACCTTGTCATCCGCCTCCACGATGACAAAGGACCGTGACTCCGGTTTGTTCTTAGAACTGAAACGTCAGTCGTCAGGAGCCTCTGGCACACGAGCGCCGCTGCTTCTGTCAAAAAGCCCCCAGGTGTGTGTGTGTGTGTGTGTGTGTGTGTGTCCTCACCTGAGCCGTGGCCCGGGTACAGGTCCTGCATGGTGGACGGGTGGCGCATCACCTGCATGTACTGAGGCGGGGCCACCAGGTGATTGACGCGCGGCGCCGCTTCGGCACTGTGGAGCGCGCTCACCTGGCCGGGGGGGGGGGGGGGAGGGGCGAAACAAAAGGGGCGGGGTTTACACAGGTGAACGTCACTGATCGCAGAGCGAACGTTGTGCTAAAACACGTTTCAGCTCCCCACAGGAAACGAAATGTAAACTGCATTCCTCAGTTTTGCGAGGCAAAGTATCAGGGATGGAAACAAACCGCCCGGCTGGGTGTTTGGCTCTTCATCATGTAAGAAACTTGTGTGTGTGTGTGTGTGTGTGTGTGCATGTGCCTGTGCGTGTGTTTAGAATTTCCCGCAGAAGTTCGACAGTCTCCTCAGGGATTAGAAGTTTTGCATCCCGCCCTCGTTTGATTGGACGGATGCTCAGCGAGGCCGTTGTCGGCGTGCGCGGGCTGCTCTGCAACGTTCTAACTGAACAATACGAAGTAATCCGATTATTCCTACAGTTTTTAATTTCTCCCCCCCCCCCCCCCCCCCCTGAAATACCTGTTCTAATGGTTTGAAATGCTCCACTTTAGCTGCTGCCCGTTTCAGGCTCCCTGGCACAAAGAGCCCGGTCGGCTCCGACTGGCTTTGTGCAGAACATTTGGCGCGTCTACAAAAGGAAGCTCTCCAGCCGTGGGAGGAGATGCTCGGATGCTCCAATCTGCCAGCCTGAAAGCGACTGGATTGTCTTATTTCACAGTTTGCGGGCTGGCAGCTACTTCTGATACCCGGATACATGCGCGAAAGCGCTGAAAGCAAAGTGTTCCCGCCGCTCCAATCCCCACAATCCCCCCCCCCCCCCGACAGCCGGGCTCCGCTTACAATTATTTTTATTTTCAGTCCTAAAATCTTTCTCACTATGCACCTGTAAAATGCTGCATGAAATGTTCTGGATGTTCTCGGAAGCCCTTTAAACCTCTTCAACTGGAAAACGTTGCATTAAATGGCACAGGTGGCGTCCACTCACCTCCAGGTTGAATTCGTTGCTGGTGTAGCGGCCGTTGAGCTCCGAGCAGGTGAGGCGGAACCGTCTCTCCGTTATTTGCCCGGGGAGGACATTACTGTAACGCACCTGTCGGATCACCTGCTCGTAGTTGGACATGGAGTCCACGCCTGTGGGCGGAGAGTTTCAAAATAAAAGACTTTTTTTTTTTTTTACACATAGGCCGTGACCCTTCTGAAACACTCTGCCGCGGTTGCCGTGGTAACCTACCGTACACGGACATGCCGGAGGTGGAGTTGGTGGCGTCCAGGTGTTTTCCCAGCAGAGCGCTGCGCTTCAGCTGGAGGGACTCCTGCTCCGGCCTCAGCTCCTCGCCCAACACCAGGATGTCACAGTAGTCCAAGTTGTGGATGATCTCCTCCTGCACGCCGGGTCGCCGGGCTGCACGCACGCACACACACACACACACACACAGACACACAATGAGATGCTCGCTGCATGAACCAGACTGCAGCCCCGTATCACCAGGGGAACCGAAATGTTTAATCCCTTGAGGCATTTTTCTTACTGTCATTTCATGTACCCTTTGTTTAGCATAATCCCATGATGATGAGCAGAGAAAGACCTCTGGCGTGATATGAAAGGTTGTGTGTGATCTGTAGATTACGCGACGTCCCTCGGGAATAACGCTCTAAAAACAACACAGCAGTATGAAAACGACTCACACGGCAGAAGCTCTTGAGCAGCTTTTGATAAAGAATAATTATTGTTATAACAAACAAGCCTCTGTAATGTTGCTATAAAGAAACATACTGTTTTTTAAATCGATACACGTTGACGTTTGGCTGTAACTGGCTTCGTTGTGCCAGCGCGGTGATAAACATCTGTACCAGTCAGTGTCTTACAACGTGCATTCTCTGTACTGACCAGCAGGGGGCGACTCCTCTGGTTGTACAGAAGTCTGTGAGAAAAGTTCCAAATTCCGAGTACCAAGAGGCGACTAACAGGGATTTCTGACACCTTTATTTAATTCCCACATTTGCAGACGCTTGGACTGTAAATGGCGGGACGGATTCTTTTCCGTCTTTAACAAGTCATTTCATGGCTGCGGCTGTTGCAGCTGTTTTCGTCCGCCTGGCGGGCGCGTCGCCCCGCGTGCTGGTGAATTCTGATTTGACATGATTGGAGAACTGAAAAAGTAAAGTGGAGCAAGAACAATCGAATGTGACGGCGTGAGTGTGCCGCCTGATTCCACGGCTTCAGTGTGGGTGGGCTCCCCAGAAAAAGAGACCCAGAGAGGCTGAAACGGGGGCTGAAGATGAAGCCCGAGAGCTGAAAAAAAGCCCCTTAAGAGGAGACACGTAAAATAATGATGAACATTAAGGATCAAAGAGACAATCGATGACCTTCACTGTGAGTAAAGGCACCGCAGTGATTCCGTATTATGAGATGGAAGCTCCACAAGAAGACGGATGTCAGAGACACACAAAGCAGAGACGGGGGAGGGGGGGGAGGGGGGGGCTGATTAACCGGGTCCAAAAGAAACCCACCGCCTGCCCTGAAATAGAAAAAATGTGATATATGTGGAATCCTTTCAATCTGCTCATTATGAAACTTCATCGTGCCTCTCTCTCCCCCCCCCCACACCCCCGGCTTCCAGCTAATCTCTCCCCCCCGGCTGCAGCCTCCATTTCACCGCCTTTCACCGCCCGTCTGCTTGGACCTCCCTCCTCGCCCTGCTTATAATTGGGGGGGAGCGGCGAGGCCGGAGGCAGGGGGGGTGTAGGTCTGTTCCTGCCCCGGCGATCAGATCTTTGGACCGGGTTCTGAGCCTCAGTGAGTCAGTGATTGAAGTGCTGCTTACTTGTGCGCGCTTCGGTTGTCATCACCGTTAATAAGACGAGTCACATGACAGCATGAATATTATTATATGAATATTTAAAGTGCATTTTTACAAATGCATGTTTGTCTACATAGAATCACTATTTTTGCTTCCTGGTACCATTTGGAAAAGGTTCCACCTGGAAACCCTTCAGAAGGAAGCCTTTGAGGTTTCATAGAGGGGGGGGGGGGCTGATGTGGTGCAATGATCCATCACCAAGAGACACTAAAATGAGAAAAAGGACGGGGGTGGGTGGAGGGCGGCGATGGTGTAAAGCCGTGAAAGCTGAACAAACCTTGTGTCCTTTAAACAGTCTCACAGAAGCCTCTCATGTCTTCTCCCCGGGGGGGGGGGGGCGTTGTCCCGCATGGCGGAGCTGCAGGCGAAGACGTGCTGCTCGCGTCTCTCATTCATTGACTCATATAATATAACGCAGGCCAGCGGACGTGTTTACTAAGCAACACAGCACATTACCTGGAGAACCATGTCACTGAGTGAAGGGGGGGGGGGGGGGGGGGTACCTGACTCACAGCCTGAGGAGACCTCGGCGGCTGATTCCCTCGGCGGCTCGGGGTCGCAGAGCGGGGACGTACCTGCGTGAAGGGTGGTGGCGTCCGCTCTGGTGACGGCGCTGACGATGTGCAGGTCCTTAAACAGAGCCGCGCCCGCCGGCGCCCGGAAGTCGGAGGCGGGGCGATTCAGGCGCTCCGCCCCCGTGATGGTTATCCGGGGCTCACTGGGCTGCAGCACCATCACCACCGCGTCGATGTCCGGGATGGTGATGCAGGTGTCTTCACCGAAGCACCTGGAGGAAGAGGAGGAGGAAGAGGAGGAGGCACATGTAGAGAGTCTCCTTGTGAGCCGTGAAGGATTACGGGATTACATAGAAAACGTAGTTCAAATTTACTTCTACTGGATTTCTCATGTGGTAATTAGCAGCTCAACCCTCTCAGATAAAGGCATCGCCTGACCCACACACACACACACACACACACACACACACACACACACACAAGCAGATTACACATCAATCAAATGGAAAACAAGACACACTAAAATGAGAAAAAGGATGGAGGGGGGGGGGGGGGGGGAGGAGGGGGACGGGGGGGCGGCCATGGTGTAAAGCCGCGAAAGCTGAACAAACAACCCGATTTTTGTTTTTACATTTCACCGAGCACACAAACATCTGTCAGCGGGCGCGACATCAACGCTTCCTCTCACTCAGCTTATTTCTCAGGAACCCGGACTACAAGATGTCTGCTGCCCCCCCACCCCCCCCACCCATCCCCCCCCATCCCCCCTGCGTAAACCCATAAGAGGAAGTGTCTTCTGTGAAATAGATTAGCAGGGTGTAGGAAATGATATGTGACCCTTTTAAATGCTTCATTTGTATAACCAGTTTATTAGTTTGCAAGTGGTTCGATGACAAAGGCCCTGACATAAGAACTGATGTCTCCCTCTTGGATTAGATGTTTCCAGCGACATAGCTGTAGAGATGGAACAAAGTGTTTGTTATGTCTATGACCACCTTTGTTTTAGCATGTTGGGAGAGCAAGGACACGGTCAAAGAACTGACGTGTCTCACATGGACAAGGTGTTCCCAGTACCCTGGCTGTAGATACTCAACAAGATGGTCAAAGGTTTCTGTTGACGCCACCGATATCTAAACTTAGGTATAAGAACTGCCCCGATGTGTTGGGGGGAGAAGGAGGTTCTTGACAGTCTACTGACCACGTAGCTGTTGTGACCCTTTTTCCCTTGCAAGGAAATAAACGGAGGAAAGACACACTTGACTCAGAGCCTTTGTTTCTTAACGATTGTCTGTGCAAAATCTTCCACCACAGGGGTCACATGTTGTCTAAACTACATCGACTCGGAGAAAATGTAACGTCCATTCATATGTTGTTCAATGCTGCTGCTTGTTCCCCTTGTTACAGACGTGGTGAATATAACGGTGCAGCTCTTTTTACTGATGCAGTTTATGCCAAAGGTCAAAATATTAAAATCTCTTAGACTTGACCTCAGGCATTTAACCAACAACTAGAAAAATATTGACTCCAGAAAAGAAGCAGAATGGGGCAATTTGGTAAAGCTGGATGAAGAAGTTATTCGATTCAATTGTTAAATGATTACTGCAGATCAGTTGCTACAGAAAGCGCTTCATTGACCGTCCTTTTAGCACCGACCGATTGGTTCTACACCCGAGAAGCTTACAGGCTTTCACTCATCTGATGGAAAAGAACAAAATTCCCTCTCAGTATTCTCGAAACATAATAACAGAAATCCAATTCCAACTTGAGCCCGACGGCTGGATGGAAACTCAACTATCGCCTGTAATCCCGCTGCGTTGTCTCACCCCCCCAGTTTGAGACAAAGGCCTGTTTTCGGAGGGTGGGGGGGCACGTTGTAATCTCTTCTTATCTCCGGCTGCATTGTCGCGAGCGCCGGGAGACTCGATGCCCGGAGGCGAGAGAAGGAACCGTCGACTGCGGCGACTCGGGGCGGGAGCTTCTCTCCTTCCGTCATCAGCCGCCGGCATGAAGGGGAGGCGATGACATCTGGAAGGTTTGTTTTCTGCGTGTGCGTGTGTGTGTGTGCGTGTGTGTGTGTGTGCGCGCTCTGCATGAAGTCTAATAAGCCGTGTTAACGAGAACACAAGTGGAGCACAGAGAGCTTTTACTGGAGGAAGCATAAGTGGTATAGAGGTGCTGCTCTGAGGTCACTTCATTAGTGTCTATTACTTTAGAGAAAGGTCTTTGCACTCTGGTGTAAACAAACCATAATGTGAACACTTGCATTTAACAGATTACAAACCCCCACAGGCGCCGCTCTCTTTTATCACGGGGGGTGAGAATGTTTACCCTCTGCAGGGTGAGAATGTCCTTCTACCCAGATGTGGTTTCTTTATGGTGACATCAGAGGCTGAATTGTAACAACAACGTCGTCACTCTCACAGCCGGCGTGTCCATTCAACACACTGCGTCCCTGGTGTTATGCAGCACACAACACAACACAACACAACACAACTAACGGGCCACCAGAAGCCAATTTAAACAGCATTTAGCGATGACGCAACATAACGCGTTCCTTGATAATCGCAGAGCTTCTGGCCGAGACGACGCCGCTGCATCAACAGCAGCGTGGCGCACACGCACACGCACGCACGCACGCACGCACGCACGCACGCACGCACGCACTGTTAGTTGAAGCTCTCGGCCGTGCATGGAACCCAACGGGAGTGCGGATGGTCGTGCATTCAAAACAATCATGAATTTTAATGGTAACCCGCCAACGGAGGCCGCTGTTCCCCGCCGGCCTCTCTCGCCCTCTCTCTCTCTCTCTCTCGTTCCTCCGGCAAAAACAGAATTATTTAAACGTGACATGAAAATGTAAAAACTGGCCCCGAGTGGCGACGGCGAACAGAAAATTGTTTATTAAAGAGAAAATAACGTGACAGCAGAGGAAAGGGGCGGCGAGCGGGAGAGGTGGGGATCAACGGCGTCTCCCGCGTTGTCACTTAGCACGAGCGTCAGCGTGCGCAAACGCTCGTCGCGTCGGCAGAGACGAGGGGGGAAACAAACAGAAAGCAAAAGGGAAGGAAAAGCAAAGCGTACGTACTGGACGGCGGTGGAGATCCGCAGGCGCCGGACCCCCGAGGTGGGGAACTGACGAGAGTTTATGTAGGAGACTTTCCTCACGGCGGCGTTTGTGTTCTCCAAGTCCTCCCCCTCCATCACCAGGACGGACTGGGCCGGGTTGAAGTGGAACTGCAGAGATAAAACGCAGGGGGTCACGCACTCGTCGCTCCTCTGGAGACGCCGTCGTCGGATGCTCTCCCGCTGCGTCCGATGGTGGGGATTTGAGGCCTTTCCTACTTTAAAGAGGGTTTAGTGCTCTCCTGCCAGGTCTGGCTCCCGTTCGCCCCAAACCGTCCCCCAGCAGCGGGGGGACAGGCACTCGACGCGCTTCCGCTCGCGTCCCTTCCCTCTCGTCTCCTCTCATTGTCCTCGCGCCTGCTGTCCATCAGCCTCAACCTCCTGCTCTTCCCCTCGCCGCTGATTCTCCTGTGACTGCGCTCGGCTAAACGCCGTCCTCAAGCCTCCCGTGGACTCATGTGCGTCGCTAAGGGGAAATTAAATTGCTTTCAAAGGAAAAACTACACTGGGGCCTCGAGGGGCCCTCTCGTCCTCCTCCCACCTTGTCTGCTCAAAAAGGATCTATTTGTAGACCACAGCACTGGGGGGGGGGGGGATACTGAAAAGAGCAGCACAAGTGAGGGAAGAGAAGAAGAGTGAAGAGGGAAGGACTTAAAGGAGCTGAGGAGGGGCCCCTGACCATCTTGTCGGCCCCCTATCTGCCCCGGTGCAGGAGAAGGATTAGCTGAGCTGTCTGAGGAGGGTTGTTCAGATGTGGAGATGTGTGTGTGTGTGTGTGTGTGTGTGTGTGTGTGTGTGTTTGCTCAGTTTAGGCACGACGCCGTTTACAAAACCAATTTTTTACTGTGAACTCAAATTTGCTGTCATGCCAATAGAAATACTCAACATGGCTACTAGCCGGGTAGCGTAGCTTAGCATGAATAAACGCATATACCAGCACCTCCAGAGCTCCCTGATGCTGCTGCGTCAAATGGTGAATGTTTAGTACGTGTGAAAAGCAGAGTAGAAAAAAACAGTAAATACCTTGAGGTTCTTGTCCAGACTCTTCAGAGAGTTGATGTCCAGTCCCTCTTTGCAGCGCTTGCAGGCAGGGAAATGACCTTCTGACTCTTCGATCTTGCCCCGGTCGGATGGTCAGTCCGGAGAGGCTGCCCCGGAAGTACTGAGTGAACCGCGGCTTGGTCACCTCGCCACCTACACACACACACACACGCAACAATACACACGAGCTTAACATACCTTCTGGGGTTACACCACAAAAACACAATCCTTACAAAATCAGTCCGTAAAACACAACACAGCGGCCGAATTCAGCCTTCAGATCCTCTGCGTCTCCGTCGCGCGATGTCATTCACCCGTTCCACGGAGACGGAGAGGGCGCTGACCTCCGTAAAGGGCGACGCCAGCAAGAGAAGCGAAGCCTCCAAACCGCTCGTTAGCTGAAAGGTCACTGGGTGCGAAAGCTTCCCCTTCATTCCCTGACTCCATCTTTCCCCGCTCCTCCACCTCCGGCTGTGATCCGCCGGAGCCCCGACGGAGCAGAGCAGGGACGCCGTGGTTGTAAATTAAATGAAGCTTAGGCGAAAATTCAGTCAGGAAGACTGGACAGGCTGTGCCGTTCCCTGGTGGCCTCCTCTCTCCCTGGGGGGGCACGGCCAGCTGATTGGGGGCGGGGTCGGGTAGTATCAGACGTGGGTGTCGTTACCGTAAACCAATCGCATTGGGGCAGGCAAACGTTAAAAACTGTTCTCCTCTCTTGTGCTGTCAGTTGTCATTTCAGCACGCTCCCAAGGTGACCCGCCACCACCCCGGACACCTCCAAGCTACAGCAGAACCTGGCATAGCAGGGGAGTCATGCAACTTGGGCTCCACCACCACCACCACCACCACCAGTGTCTGGACTCCCAAAGGGGGGGGATATGCCTCGTCTCGGCTCGAGATCCCGGCCCCGGGTCTGTCCTGCGGCAGGATGGAGTCCAAGCCCCAAACAACTTGCAATATCATATTATACCTGTTATAATAAAGCATTGTTCAAATTTCAACAAGTCTCTCTGGATTGAAATACAAAAACAGCAGAAACCTTTTCTACGGCGGAACGGCAGCAGAGACGCGATGTCTGTCGGATGGAAGCGCGCAGAGAGGAAGAGGAAAGTCGCTTCCATTTTTCATGACCCCCCCCCAATTTGAAGACGTAACAGTGGGTGAGACGTTCGGTTGAACCAGGAAATCCAGCCGGTGGCTGAGGAGACACTCCACCGGCCTCCAGTGGCCACAGATAAGGGATTCCTCGCCTCTAAACCTCTTTGGCGCCACTTCATCAGACACACTGTGAGGCCTGGCCAGGCGCTATTCCCCATCGGACGATGCAGCAACGCGCATCTCACTTTCCACCACTTGGAACGACTTCATCACCCAGCGTGTGATAAAAAGAGACGACGGCTCGCAGCGAAAGCGCAGACATTTAATTCCTAAATCCTTGCTCTCCCAGATATATATTTATATACATGCACGTATATGCACGTATATGTATTGGCCTCTACCTGACTGCCATCGGTGGGACTAGCAAAGCTTTGTTAGGGATCGGGCAGAACCCCCCCCCCCCCCCCACCCTCAGTCAGTGCTCTCATTTAAGCATATGTAAACATGATGGGAACATTGGGCTCCCGGACCCTACCCTGCTATTTTGAGTTTTTCAGCACTGTATCGCGAAGCTGTCAGGGGCATATCCAAACCCCTTTACAGGATCCTGTGCCAGGAAGGAGGATTTGAGAAAAACAGTCCATGGGTGTGTTATTTTTGAAGGTCTCTGTGTGTGTGTGTGTGTGTGTGTGTCAGTGAAAGTGTGTCTTCTCTGCACGGGGCGCCTGGGAGCCCCCTTTATTGATTCATTCATTTACCGCCTGCAATCTGCCTGAATGTAAGCCGCCCAGCTCTCGTTTCATCAACCAGCTGCTTTTGATCCTCGCAGCCGAAAATAAAAGGGCCGCCGGCCCCCCTGCCGGGTACCAGGGGCCGCCGAAGCCCTTCCATGAAACAGCAAGAACGCATTTTCATTCACGCCTCACAAACTGAAACCTTTTCTTTCCTTCTTCGCGCTTCCCTCGCTTTACCGTTGCTCCGAGTGGGGGCTTTCTCCCTCCCCACCGCCAACCGCCCCCCCCCTCCCTGACAGATGTTATCCATCGTGACCGTAGAAACCATTAAGGGGTCCCGGACAGAGGAACCAGGATCAGCGAGAATGATGCGGCCGATGGAACCGCCGATCATCCTCCTCCGCGGAGAGGCCCGACTCATTGGCGCTATTTGCCCCCCCCTGCTCAATAGAACCCCCCCCCCCCCCCCCCCCTCCCTCAGCTCCTTTGCCGTCATTTCAGTAAAGAGCAGCGGGGCGAGCTGGAAACAGGACCATTACTTAAGCTTAAGAGGGATGGTTCTTCCTCCTGCATGCTGGGGGTCGGGGGGTTACACACTTCTGGACATGGACACCCTCCGTCAGGTCCGAGGGTAACTAGGTGGAAACTGCACAGCCAGCACTTACTTCTAGAGGCGAGGGGGGGGCAACCCTCCTATTACAGAACAGGAGAATGAAATCGTGCAAATGTCACTTCACAGGCGGGTGAAGCAGCGCTTTGTTGTGTGGAAGGAACTCACACCGACAACAAGTGTGTGTGTGTGTGTGTGTGTGCGTGTGTGTGGTGTGTGTGTGTGTGTGTGTGTGTGTGTGCGTGTGTCACGCACTTTAATGAGCAACGCAATCTAGTAGTTCACGGGTGGTGTTAAGGAGAGTTCCCATCTGAGCTGAAACAGCTCGTCTCAGATCAGCTCCAGACGCTGAAGCTGCCCCACCAATAAAAGCCGACTAATGCGCGCCGGCCGCCCGCAATGACACATTTAGGGAGGTTTAATTACAATATTTTACCCCCCCCCCCACCCCCCCGACACTAGAATGGCTTCTCTGCATAAATATCTGAAAGATCATCATTGTAAATTACCCTCATTCGCTTCGGTCGGGCCAAAAGCATTTACATTGGATGATACTGAATGACCAGTTAAATGTTATGAACCGTGAAATGGTATCATGAAATTTAATTAAACATGGCAAAACTATCACAGTCGCTCCGCAGCAACAAATCTTTTCGGTTTCCTCTGCCGTCCGTTGGCACGCTTCCCCGTCCGGGCGCTGAAACCACAGCGGGATATTTACCTGCGATGAACCCAACATATGACCCCCCCCATCTCAGCAGCGTGTTTGCAATCAGCATGGCGGACATGGAGAAGCTCTCCGCTCGGGGAGGCAATCCGCCGCGGATCACGGCTTCCCGTTTGGATCTCAGAATCACCTCATCAGCTCTTTGCTCTTTGCCGAGGCCCGAGCCGACGGGCTGGAAGAAGCACAACTCGTCCCTGAACTCCCTTCTCTCCTCGACGCTCCTTTAATCCTCCTAAAGCCCGGTGTTTGCCCAAAGACCTGGGAGGGCGGGAGGGGGAGGAGGAGGGGAGCGGGAAAAGTGACTCCAGGTGAACCTGCTCCTTCTACCGACTCGCCATCGGGGGGGGGTCAAGCCTCCCGCCGAGCCGCCGCCCTTCGGGCCATCAAATCAGCGGCGAGGAAGCTGCAGCGACTGCACCTCGCCGTTGATGCAAACTCTAATTTTCGTCCTCTTTCAGAGGCTCCGCCCACTCACCTTGCCAGCAGGCGCCAACCGTGAGCTGCACGTCGATCTGCGAGGGGTGGATGGGCCAGTCGTCGGTCACCAGGTAGGGGTCGTAGGTCACCCCGTCCACGTAGAGGGTCACGCCTGGGAACTCCACGTTGATGACGTAGTAATGCCACTCCTCGTCACAGATCTGTCAGGGGGAGGAGTCAGCGACAGTTTAACTTGAACTGTTCGGAATTCAACAACATCAAGCTGACAATATGATCTGTGCACCATGTTGTCCGTATTTGGGAGCTCTGTCAGATTTAGTAGTCAGTTATCAAGAAAACAGTAGATTGTACCGTGGTGGATGGAGGTTGATATTCTGTAACCATGGAAATCATGCAAATCACGTTGGTTCATCTTTATGCCAATTATGGAAATCTATATTACAATATACTGTCTACATTTTATTTTTTCATTCTTGCATCTTTTGTGATGAAAAACTGCAATATTCCCGTCCATAAACTCTCCATCAGCGGGCTTCTCTCGGCCTCTGTGGGAGTCACCTGGGAGTCTAACCTCCCCCTCCGGTGGAGGGCGCCCTGCAGGCCGGCTCATTGACGCCGCGCCAGCCCCGGCAGGCGGGAGCTCCAATCAATACGCTTCCTTCTCTGCCGCGTTGGAGGACACAACATCTGGCCTATCGGCGATCATTCCCGCACAGCTGCTGAACGCATACGCGGCACGTCGAAACGCCGCGTCATCGCTAGGAGTAAACGGGGGGGGGGGGGGTTATGATTCATACTGATGGCAATGACTTTTATTGGCCAGTTAGCATGGCTGGACATGTGCCACGTTGTACCCAGAGGGGCCTCTCTGCACCTGCAGCTCGCGTGCTCGGCGAGTGGGTTTGCGTGTGATTCCAAATGCAAAATGAAACACGCCGCAGCCCTTCGCTTTCAACGCGCAACGTGTCTGCTCTCCACTTTGCTTGCGTCTCATTGCTCGTGTGCCAAGTTAAAAACACTCGCGTGCACACTAATTCCCCCTGACATTTACACATGCAGCCCTCTCCCTCCCCAATGCTCGGCTGCTCCTTCCCATGTGTTCTGCCACCGAGTATTTCAAAGAGGTGTCGGGCCCGCAGGGGATTCGGAGTGCCTGGTGGGCGACTTCCCCGTGCAGCCTTCAAAGGCCAGAGGAGGCTGAGATGTCAGCTGGACGTCTCTCTCTCTCTCTCTGAGGGACCGACTTTAAGACCAGACATGGACGAGAGTCCGCTTGAAAGAAAGGGTTGACTTCCTGTGGAGAAGTTCTCGCCAGAAGCGCACAATTAGCGCTGGAGAGAACAGGCGCACTGCTGTGCAAGCGTGTGTCTGTGTGTGTGTAGAAGGTGACACTAGGACCCCGTGTGTGCGACGTTAACAGGCGCGAAGGCGCGAGTGCGCGGACCGCAGGACGCCACAAAAGTGTCGGCGCGAGAAACCTCAAAGCTCCAAATGTTAAAGTTCAGCTCCCGCTCACGACAGCAAAGCACAAAGTTTTCCGTCCCCCGGATCCCTGCACTTTCCCGCCTGATGCAAATTGACAGAGGGAAGGAATGAGTGAAATAAAATAGGCACACAAACAAAGACGAGGGAGGACGTGAAACAACCAGAGGACACAGAATAAGAAGCGGGAGAGAGAGCGAGAGGTAGAGAAAGGAAACATCACACATCAAAGATCCTTCCTCCTCTCTCGGGGCACTCCGTGGCGGGAAAAAAAAACAAAATTGCTATCTGCCTCCCTCCATCTCGCTCGCGCTCTCTCTGCAGTTTATTTGGTCTCTTTTCTTCTTCTCCCGTCTCTCTATTAAAACCTGACTGTGGGAGTTGTTGCCTCGAGTCCTTTGGAGTTGAAAGTCTTTAAGAGATCCGTCACCCGATCCGACCTTCCAACTTCAAACCGCAGACGGAGGAAGGAGATGGGAGCGGTGAAAGAATGAGGAGGTGATCTGAGAGGGGAAAGGCGGCACAGCGGAGGGACGATAGCGAGCGGGATGAAAAGGCGGCGAGGGAGGAGAAGAGACCACGCAGGGAAATAAGGAATGAAGAGAAGACTCGTGACAACTGGCATGGCTGTAGATTGTTAGCTTTGGAGGTTAATTCCATGATTCCATTAGTCATTAAGGAAGACGAGGTTCTCCTCGGCCTGTGGGTTGGAAGAGGACCGGGGAGAACTGGTGCATCGGAAGGAGGGAACGATGGGAGAACCAGAGGAGGAGGTGGTAGGAGGGGTGGGGGAGGAAGGAGGAAGGACCACCACAGAGATTGATGAGCGTTGGAAACAAGGTGACTTGTGGGGGGGCTGAGGGGGGAGGAGCCACGAGGAGCGATGAGAAAGTTACTCCGGAGGCAAAGTGAAGGCAGACGAGTAAAGTGGAGTGACGATCGGTTATTGGACGGAACGTCGGTTGGCCGCCCAGCAGAGAGATTCCAGGAAAAATCCCTGGGATGCTCAAAGACTCGGTACATAAAAAGCTGCATTATAAAAATGATGTGTCACATGATCATCCAGCACTGATCGGCATCGATCCTTCAACTCTTAACTCCAGTACTTCTCGCCCTCGAGTGCCCATACGGAGGTGTTCGGTGTCATTTAGCGTCGGCAGACACGTTGTTGATACTCGACGAAAGTGTTGAGCGCCATGAACGTCGACAGCGTCGAGGCCGAGGCTCTCATCCGGCCAGGAGCAGCTCCACAAATACGTGGCCTCCACAATTCATTAACAAAAGTGCCGCTCGCTAACGCGTAATTGCCATAAATCATCGTCAGCGCGGTGTCAACATGGAAAACATTATGGTGTCAATTGTTGAAGGCTGTCTAAAAGCCCGTAATTACAAAAAACAGAAGAAACAATTAAAAAGAAAGCGATACGGGAGGAACAGTACGTTCAATTCATATGGCAGAAATGATTTAAATCCTGTTAAAATATGTGTGTGTGTGTGTGTGGTAGAACTACTTGAAGGTGACTATGAATCACCGGCTGGTAAAAGTGACTAATTAGAGCAGCAATTATCCAGCCGCTGCCGGCAGAGAGTCAACAGCCAAATGACCTTTCCGTAATGGACCACACACACACACACACACACACACACACACACACACACACACGGCACGCGCTGTAATATCCACGGGGTTGTTAGGCTGCATGCGCATTTTATTGAGACTGATCACGTTGACTTTGTCACCCTGTTGGTTACAGAGACACGGAATGGTCGCAATGCAGATTTTACAGCCAAAAAACGGCGGTAAAAAAAAATAAAAAACTGGGATTTATTTTAAGTGGAGCGTAACACATCAGGCGTGGAATTAATGTGCCCGGTGCTCCGGGTTCACTTGTGGAGCCGGGGGACAAAACAAAGAACAGCAAAGATGCCAAGATCAGAAGAAAAAGGTGGACGGATAATAAAGATATTTCCAAACCAAGATATTGAAGATGTATTTACTGCAGAAGGGTTCGATATTTGGTGCGGATTGAAAATGGTAAACAACGATACTCTCCCTTGTTTGGTTCAATCTCACCCTCTTATCAGCTTCAACATAAACATCATTATTTCTACTCCTCCAACACGACAGCGAATACAGAACAAAAAAGCAAGATGAAAAACACTGTTCACACTCTTCTGCTGTTGGTGGAAAGTGGTCTGTGTCTGTGTGTGCGAGGCAGACGAGCCGCCGTTTGATGTTGGAAACAATGAATGATGAATGAACACGTGTTGAACCATGAAAGGAATTAAAGCAAAGAAAAGTCGACTCCGCTTTTCAAACCGCTGTGATCTGCGTATTATATAACTTTACACCGTCGCCATGCCGGAACAAATGAAGTCCCTTCCCTCAAATCCCTTTCTTCTGAGGGCTCCGGGAACATTTTGGCCCAAATACGATTTTTTATTGTTAATCCAAATGTCGCCTTAAGTCTCTTTTTTGTTTGTGTTAAATCTCTTAAGATTTGAATTGGTGGCCAGACGGCTGGATTCTGGGGGGGGGGGGGGGGTGAACGATGAGCGCACAGCAGCTCGCCTGTGCTTACAGTTATCGCCCACTCCATTTCATCACCATCTCCTCCGTTCGTCTCCGCCTCCCCAGCACCACTTTCCATCCCTGACCGGACAAGAGACCATCGGCGCTGGAGGAGGAGGAAGTATCAGCGACCACATCTGGAACCGGGACGGTCACAAAAGCAGAGAACGTGTATGATGGTTCTGCCACACCACATCCATCACCCGCCTCCACGCGATTACCAAACTCTGACAATGCGCACCGCCGGCGATACTCCCACGCCAAACCCACCGGGCTCGCCTTCCCCCACCGCCTCTCCGGCTCTGACTCTTCTACCGATTCACCCCCCCCCCCCCCCCCCCCCCCTTTTTTCCAACACCATTAAAGGCGAGGCGGGGCGGGCGCCAAAAAATTCTCTCGGATATTCTCAAAGACCCCCTCGGACCCAGAAGAGGTTCTGCTCGGTGGAGGGGAGAGAACGATTTGTACCAAAAGTCGAATCTCGGAAAACACTCGGGTCGGCCGGTGAGTTCGGGGGGGGGATCTTTTGGCCGGAAAGTGAGATAAATTGTAAAGAAAAAAAAAAGAAAATGCGACGGAGGAAAGGCGGCGGGTTAAAGGGGCCGAAGAAGAGGGTGTTCAGCAAAGCCATTTGGTCCAGATTAATATGATGAATGGCACAGAGCGGCAGGTTGGACTCTGCTGTTGTTGTTTTATTGGGCCTTTGCGCTCCTCTTTAGACAAAGTGAAAACAAAAGGGCTCTCAACTCCCACACAACACCTTTGACTTGTGACGAATCGCTCGAGACTCGACGGGATTTTTTTCTACCCGGAAGAACTTGGAGCTTGACCGGAAACCGTCTCAGCAGACTTTGATCCCAAAGGATCAACGTCGACGCCATTGATGACCGTCGATGAGTTGAGACGCAAAAGAACTCGAGACTTGAAACTGTAACGAAGGGGTGAAGACTTGGACTCAACCAGTGACTTCGGATTCGACTTGGCCGAGTCACGAATGTATTAAACTAGACACAGGAAACGTCCCTCACGTGCACATGCAGTCTCTCTCGTACCATTGTTCCCAATGAGCCAAACACACACACACACACGCGCACACATAGGCGGCGAGGTAATAAGAGCCATTGCTCCTCCACCCTGTCATTTAGTGGCCTCTGCAGCACGATCCCTGCCTGTAGAGGACCCGCAGTACACTTCCCACTCCCATAAAGGGAGGTAATATCATCCCGGGACGGGGAAGAAATAAAAATGATGGAAAACTGCACGCAGCCGGGTTTGGCAAAGTGCGCCTGTGGTAACGGCTGACTTGGTTTGGGAAGCCCCCCCCCGGCGGAGGTGGAGAGACACACGATGAAAGCAGATAACGGTCCGTGATGAACGAGTGATGCCGCATCGACGCGATGGCAACAACAGATGAATGAATCCGATTGGTTTGCATGTTATTGTGTCACAGGGAGACTTTATCGATCTCACCAGAACCTCCATTGCTCATTGTTTCTATTTCTCTCCGCTGCTCCCACCAGTGTTTTCTATCGGCAGGTCTTTGCTTTGCTCTTCGATCTCTGTCCCCTGAAGGGAGGGGGGGGGGGTGATGGGGGTGGAGGCAAAGGAGGTGCTTTGCGTGGCTGCGATGGGAATAGTTGCTCAGCGAGTGAAGGACGCTCAGACCAGACGAGGACGGGACGTAGGCGGTGCCGCACGTAGACGGAAGACACGTGTGTGTGTGTGTGTGTGTGTGTGTCCATCACGCTCAGCCGGTGAAGCGGAGCTCTAAATTTAGCGGATTCTTTAGTAGGAGTCATCTATCATTCATTCGTTGATCATCAAGGCGTCCTCTGCCTGCATGTTTCTTTCCTGTGTTGACCCATTTCTGGGTGTCAACCTCAGACCAACAAGGCGCTCACCTGGTGGGAGGAGCCACAACCAGCAAATCCTCCTATTGAGTATTTATTTTACCTTAAACTAAACCACTTTAATCTTGGCCCTGAATCCAATCCAACAGCTCATCATGAAACATTTTCATCTTCATCACCGTCGGATTTTTTTAACGGCTCCGACTGTCGATGCTGTCCTGATGGCACATCTGGAGGTGCGTGTGCATCCTTTTTGGAAGGCGTGAATAATAAAACAACATCTGGAGGAGGTGTTGGGTTTAAAGGAGGCTCTAAATGAGCAGCTGCATGTGGCGCGGTGTGCGCGCGGCAACGGTTTGTGCTCCTCGTAGCAGCTGTGGGCCTGAGAGGCAGCGTTCCTCTCCTCCTTCACAACCTCCTTCCCCTCTGACAGCTGCTTTTACCGTTTTAAAAGGCTCAAAATATGTACATTTGTTTCTTCTCAATCCCAAATAAAAACAAACACGATTCCGTAGCGAACTCCCCAAACAATTTGACTAACAAGGAGTTTGCGATGACGGCAGCACATCAGCGATTTCATGAATGCCAGATGCTCGGCGGCGCTCAGGAGATGTTTGTCCCGACAAACAAGTCTGGACCGGTTCCAAGGCAACAACGGGGGGGGGGGGGGCGGTCCCTCCAAGCGGTCTGCAAAGCCAATCTCTCGCTGCCATCTGTGAGACACCAAATTTCCAAAGGACGAGATAAGATCAACACGTGTGCGATGCAGAAAGTGTATTTTCTGAGCATCGGAGCTCCAGTAGTCAATATGAATATATCCTGGGAAAGCTTTTTTTTTTTGTAGTGATTAATCCTCAACTCCACTAAATTCTACACTGTCATGCATTTCAGCATCTTCCAGATCATTATTTGAACAGTTCAAGAGAAAACGACAAAAGCATTGCTGAAAACATCGACCCGTCTGTCCGGCTTCCTTAATACATGAAGGTCACATGTGCAGCTCACTGCTCACACTAACATCATTATACGAAGCCCGTGATGTGTGTGTTTGCGTGATTGCTTTCCCGGAAAAATAATAATAATAATAATAATAAGTTTATAATGTTAGCCTCAGGTGATGGTGCAACTTCCCCCACCAGTTCAGACTCCTGCAGGAAACCTCATTTCATACTCTCAATTATCCGCGGTGTCCTTTCCCCGCTTCCCTCGGGCGGATGAAAGGCTGCAGTTGGGTTCCTCCTCTTCCCTCCACCCTGTCGTCGCGTGGACACGGCGCATTCACGCGAACGGCCGGCGCGGCGAGACCTCCGCGGCGAGGCGTCACGGGCCGTCTGAATGATTCACCAATGCAGACGTCGGTTTATTCACCCACAGAAAGAACGAGACCCTCGTTGAGTTTTGTCCCCCAGCAGAGCAGCAGGAGTCCCCAGAATGCAGCGCTAACCAAGCTAGCCGCGTGCTCGGCGTGTTAGCAACACATGCAGCAATAATTACAAACAGTCGTATTTGTCTTTTGACTTCGTTCACTATTGAAGAACTTAATTCCAGTTGTGGGAGAGTGAGTCACATTCTGTGTGAGCCGAATGCTGTTTGGTCCGTACCGGTCCAATCTTCTGCTCAGTTATAATACATGCAGGTGGGGGGTGATGGGGGGGGCTCATTAAGTGCCGGCTCCACGATTGACAGCCCCCCTTTGAAGACGCTTGAATGGAAGTCCGCACTTTCAGAGTATGAAAAGCGTCCACAAAGGACATTTCTAATATAAGCTCAGTGCTCAGAGCGCGTGAATGAAGTCCAATAAAAACCTGGAGCTCGATCTCTGCAGAGCCCGCCGGACACAAAGGGTCTGCGCGCACAAAGCCGTGCTGTTATTAACACACATACACAGGTTTATTTTTAAAATGAATATCTGCAACCAACCAACCCCCCCCCCGATCCAGCCTCTATGCGGCGACTCGCACTGCCGGACTGGACTGTACGAGGAACGAACTGGACCTGTGTGATGGACGTGTTCTGTGGGCCGGAGGTGTCACCTCTTTATCCTCTTTAAAAGACGCGAGGAGGAAGCGGCGAGGGGAGATAGCGACCTAATGAAAGTTTCCTTTCATGCCCCCCCGTGGGGGGTTTCTGAGAGAACTGTTAATGAGGGGGGACGGGGGCGGGGGGGGGATGAGAGGGAGGACAAAAGAGTGAGAACGTCGGTCCGTTCTGGAGACGAGTCCATCGAGGTTTATCCAGGGAGGTAATAAAATAAATTCAATTCAGACGGTCAGTGGAATTATTTTTAGAAATCTTTGTATTAACCCGAAAGTGCCACATATGAGGAGAACAATGACGCACAATCAGTGTGTCGTGGATAAAAATCACTTTAAAATCATTTCAGAAATGTGCATTTTGTCTTCTGAATGCTGTGAATTTAACTCTCCAGAAGATGCCAAAAAAAGACTGACCCCCCCTCCCCCCTCACCCTCCCCTCCCCTCCCTCCCCCCAACTGTCTCTCGGTGCTGCGTCCGGATGTCCAGGCTCAGCGGCTCCGCGAGGCTTTGGAGTCGAGGTGACTCGTCTGACTTTCAGACAGCGACCTCGATCGAACAGACAGCTGCTGTCTGCACGCACACGCACACGCGTGTTTCTGCTTCTCTGTGTATCCCTCACTCAAAAATGTTAAAGAACAAAATCACCCTCACACTTTGCAGAGCGATTAGTTTCTCAGGCCCTGCTGACATTTCTGAACCTCCCGAAATGACGGTGATCCGTGTTTTATCTTTGTTCACACTCGCGTAACACAGAGTCCCGGCGTCTGTTGTAAGAGGCCTCCAAACTAATTGGGTTTAATTAAAGGTCGGGCCGCTTTCGAGGATTGCGGGAGGATTTCTGAGGCACTGAACAGGGAGGCAGACATGTCGAGCCTCTCGTGGCTCTGTGGTTCTGTAAATGAAGCCGGACGTCTCCCTCGCAGACCAGCAGGGATTAAGCGGCGGATCCGAGGTCGTCTTTAACACAGGAATAATCCTCTTTATCTCTGCCCGTGACCTACTTATCAAACCACTGGAAAAGTGAGTGTGGCGTCGTGTGTCGCAGCTGTCCGTCACGCGTCTCTCGCTCTCTCTCTCTCTCACCTGCTCCAGTTTCCAGTGGAACTCGGCCGGCCTGAAGGTGTCCACCTGGGTGAAATCCCTCCTCAGAAGGAACACCAGGCGGCAGTTATGGACGTAAAGCGAGTAGTGATGGCGGTTCATCTCTGTGGGAGGGGGGGAGAAGAAGCACAGGTCAAGCGGGTTTGCAGGTTTGGTCTCCTTGATGCTTTTGCCGACGCCTGGAACAAAGGAGCCAAACCGACCTCTGAAGGTCCCGGCATCGGACACTCACCCGTCTTGTCGGAGTTACACAGGAGAGTCTCCTTCTCGGCCCTCGGCCCGGGACTCGGCCCGTGCCTCATCCAGGTGGCCACGGTGAACTGGTCCGTCAGGTTCTGGGGCACCACCCAGTCGGGGATTTTAGCCGCCTGGCGGCCGGCGAACTTGAAGATCAGGTCGCTGTCCCGGCCGCTGTCGGTGACCAGGGAAGCCGTCCAGTTAGTGGCGGCGCCGGGGGCGGGCAGGAGGTCCGTGCTGCCCGAGGAGGCCCCTGCGGGGTCGCCGACCGTGGGAACGGACAGAAAGGGTGCGACAGGGAACGTGTCAATGACAACCTTGGCTGAGGTTACTTACGAGCGCGGGCAGATGGCGGCGCCTAATATGCAATCAATGGGCCGGGATGGAGACGGGACGCGGCTATTGATTCGCGGCGCATTTTAACTGACTTTCAAAACGGGAAAGACATGCCAGTCACTGTTCCCCCCCAAAAAAACCTGCACTCAGCTCGCAATCTGAAAAGCGGCGAGGACGTATCGAGCGAGCGCCGTGGTAACGGGAGGAGAAAAGGAGGACGCTTTTGTTAAATTATCCCTACACACATTCTGACAATACACACCAATCATCGCTGCATTGAGCCGTCCTGTCCCCCTCCTCGCTTTCAGAGCGGCTCATTCTTTTCTGACGCGACAGCCTCGAGGTGTTCAACGCCGAGCGATTTTCGTTGACGGGCGTTATTTTTGCCGCCTCCTCGCCGCTTTCGGACACGTCCTCGGTGATGGTGACGGATGCCTTCCATGCGTTTCGTCCACGTTTATGAATCATTTCAACGGGCTCATGTTGTGTAGAGGGAGTTCTCTTGTGCCGCAAACAATCGGCGAACATGCGGCGGTAGATTGCTGCTAATAACGCGACATTAGCACATGAATTGGTGTTTATTCCACCTGTAAAGCAGTTTTTTTTCCACACGCCAGCGTCGGCGTCCTGACTCCAGTAATTAGATTCCCTCAGCAAATAAATACGCCTCGACTTCCCCCGGTGCCCAGCTGCAGCCTTCGTCTCTGTACATTATCTCAAATTGATTGCGCTTTAAAAAAAGCAATTACAATTTATTCTATTCGCCATCAGATAGCGATTATGAGGCGCCTGAAAAGGTCTCTTTAGTGGTGAACCATGCGTGGACCGGGAGCCGGGGGAGGCAGGGGGGAGGCAGGGGGGGAGACGTTGTGCATTCAGATGAGCCGGAATGGGGCCTGTGAAGGCCGTTAGTCAAAGAGGATGACTCCAGCCCCCCTGCTGGCGGTGGGGGGAGGGGCCTCGGCTGCCTTGTTGGCGCTCTGGGCGCAGATACGGCTGATGCCCTCGCTGGCTTTAAGGCCGCTGTTTGTTTAGCCGGGGGGGGGGGGGGTTTAACCGGGGACGTCTGACCCCCGTTGCTCAGACGGTGCTCACTCGGTATTCACCGCGCCGACTTTCAGTTTGCCGCTTCAGCCAGAAGTCGTCTTTGATCAGCGGACCAACAGCCACTGGTCCAACTCTCATGGGATTTACCCGCTATGCATATTCCCCCCCCACCCCCTAAATCGGAGCCGCCTCATTCTGGTCACGCGGGCCGGATCGCGGGCGTTCACGGGCACAACGGAAATGTCTCGGCAGAACCAACCGCAGAGCTTCTGTAGAGACTTCTCCGAGTAGGTCTCGCGGTCGCAGCCCTTCCCGATGTGGCTGGTCTGCAGCTCCACCGTGGTCCTCACCGACGACAGCGGCCCGCCGCACGTCTCCAGGTGCATTTTGGGAAACAGCTGCTTACTTCCCGTTCCCGGCTCATAGTCGACCCGCTCGTTCCAACCTGGGGGGGAGAGAGAGAGAGAGAGGGGGGGACGGAGCGAAGGCGTTAGGGTGATGGTGGGAACACGGGCGCCGATTGTCATAGTGTGTATCTGAGTTGTGTTGCGATCAAAACAAGGCCGCCTCCCTCTCGCTGGTGTTTCTGGCATCGTAACACAATGTGCCCGGCCGCTTTGTTTGTTCCTCCGTCCTTCTCGCCGTCCGTGCAGCACTTTGCCGATGGGAAGCCGAGAAGAAGAAAAGCAGCGGCTCTAACCACGAGGCAGATGCGGCGCCGCCTGCCGCCTGCCGCCCGGACGCTCGGCACCTGCCACATCTGCCTCGCGGTTAATTCACCTCCTGCAGACCGCGAAGGCCGTGAGCCCGCCGCGCCGCAACGCGGACAAACAACGGTGCTCAACGCAGCGTCTCTTCTCACACTCACTCTACATGCTGAATTTACTGACGTAACCACTCGGCTCAAAGACCAGAGACACCAGAGCTGCGTTTGGCATTTCTACGGCTTTCAACAAACTCCAATCCCAAAGATTGGACCAACGGACGCGATGCAAGAAAAGTCCAAACAAACACAGGACCGTCACCCTGGAGACAGATGCTCACTTATCCGAGTTCGTCAGCATTCGCATTCATTTCTGTGACTGCGGTCGATGTGGCGTCTCAACACGAGCAGTAAAGATTAGTGAAAGAAGCTAAAACAACCTCCAAATCTTGTTTTTGCAGCTTTGCCGAGAAGGGAAGCAGCGCCGCGCCGCCCACTGCGAGTTTAACGACCTGCGAGGACTTGGACACTGCCGAGGCGTCTGCAGTCCGCAGTCACAGATGGAGGGAGGACGGGGGGGGGGAGTTTGGGGAGAAGTGATCTGACCACTGATCCGGGTTCCTTCAGATCTTCAGAGGAAGTCCGTCATCTGCCAGAACGCAGGGCGTGGAATTCAGATTCAGACTCTGACTTCTGGTTTATATCTATAGAAGATGAAGAACTAGAGCATGAATCAAAAGGACACGCAGCACCAGTGCCAACTCTGATGACTCTCTGACCTTCTAGTCACCACCGGCGCCATGCGACCCCCCCCCCTGTGAGAGCAGCCGGTGACGAATGATCACGGCAGGCGTGAAGTCGATGAGCAATGAGCTCGCTGCTCAACGGCAAAACAAATCACAACACCGAGTACGGCGGCAGATGTTCTTTCACACCTAAAGGCGCTTTTGCTTTGGCGAGACACGAGTCCCCCCCCCCCCGGCGCGGCGTGACGCCCTGACGGGGGCGGACGGATGAGGGCGGAGAACAGTTCACCCCTCAGGTGCAGGCCTCCGTTTCGGACAAGACCTCAAACCACTGATCGCTATTTAAATAATGAAACGCTGAAGTGACCAAGATGACACACGTGTTTAAGCCTTGATACGCGTGATCATGTATTTATACCAAGAACTAATGATGAACAAATGAAAAGAAAACGTGGAGCAGAAAAATTCTGATTTTGCGCTTTTACCATTCGGCTGTGGATTTATATACGTAATTTGAACGTGGAGTAACGCGAGTATTCGCCAAGTTTGATCTTTTCTAAAATGTGTGCAGCGTGTCGGTATTTAAAGTGTCACGACTCTTCACGAAAAACAAAGCGGCACGTTTAGAGAAATGAAAAAACGTGCGGCGAAAGTCTCCCCGTCTGGCTGGACGGTGACGTGTTGACGCGTTGCTGGTGGCAAAGCGTGTGCAACGTGTGTGTCTATATAATTCTATGCAATTTAATATGGTACATAATGATTTATTTATTTGTCATACAACACATAATAAACAAGGTCTCTGACAAAAGATAACATGTATGTGTGTGTGTTTGTGTGTAAGTGTTCTCTTAATGTAACATTTTAACTATACCTGGCAGTCACAACAGAATTTGCTTCATTCTTAACATATGGATCAACTGCCTCACACACTAAATTCACTATTTCCGATTTTGAGGTTTTTCTTAAGGAATATGAGTTGATCCACAAACTGTACTGGTAGAGCCTGGTAGACTGGTAGAGGAGGCGTAGAGGTAGAGGAGACGTCTCACCGTGTCGCCTCTTCAGGTGCGTCCCTAAATTAGCTGTGCTGCCGGTGTACTTTATGGCAGCCCGACATATTTTACAGACGGCATGGGATTTATCGAATTTCCCATCTTTCTTTGGAAATCCAAAGTGTTGCCAAATCGCATCGTGAGCTTTCTACGCCGATGCATCGATGCCAACCGGTGAATCTTCCCTAGCGTGCGTGTAAAATGCTGAGGGCACGCCCGAGCCGTCGGCGTTACTCGTCTCAGCCGTCGGCGGAGGAGACGACTTCCATTTGAATGAGCGCTCGGCTCCTCTTCCCCTCGTGCTCTCCGTCTCCGTCCTCCTGCCGTCATTTTGATTTCTCCTCTTCCTCCCTCGGCCTCGTGGCCCCAAACTCACTTCAGCGCCTCTTTGTGCATCAAGACACTTCACTCTCTTTCTTTGTTGAGTGCACATGGAGCTCTTATTGTTTCCTTGGAACCGGCTTCCTCCAAAGTGTCCATTTTGGGCTCAAAATATAGGTTTTCATGGTTTTCAATTTGAGTGTTTTGAGAGCTGTACTGTATTATTTAAATTATTTAAATGTATTTGACACTGAGTCTGTTCCCACATTGTAACGAACAAAGAAAATCTACCTCACGGCTTCAACTCAATTTGCAGGTGGCGGCGGCGGCGGAGACTGATCTTAAACGTCCTGGAAAATCAAAAGCATTTAACAATAAGAGACGTTTTGCTCTCCGTGCAGAGATTAATTGACGGTGGCATTCAAAGGAAATCAGCCTACTGAGGCCACACAAATTAAGTATAATTTACTTGTAACATGATGTTGATATTTAGCTCTTACATCAGAGCTGTTCTTCTATTGAAGTAGTCTACAAAAGACTCAAGTGGGATGACCTCATGAAATTTCTTTTCTGCTGCATTTCTGTGGAACGTCTCCGAAAATACCTCGATCTCATGTCTAGTGTCATTCTAATTATTTTGCCCCCTTTGAGGATGTAGTGAAAATGAGGCTTTAACCCTGCGTGGTAATAAAAGGAGCCAAAACGTGCTTTCCGAGCACGTCTTTCCTCCTCCATTTCCTTCCTGCTCGCGGTGACAGCGACCTAAGCGGACCACCGGAGACGCCCCGTGTCCTCCACCTCCTCGCCGGCGTTCTTCTGGGACGCTGGCGCCGCAGCCGGAATATTCCCTCGCGGTCCCTGCGGCGTTTCTTCGGCCCCGACGGGAACGCTTTCCCGGCGCTTTTGTTGCTCGCGGGCGAGGGTGAAGGCCGGATCATAACCGCCGGACACCTGAAGCACTCTTCACCTGAGACCTCAGCGCTCATCGCTCAACTCCTCTGCCCTTTTTTCACTCCCGTTCATTCGCTCCCCGCCGCCGAACCCCGCTGACATCAGCAGCTCGCCTTCATGTCGGCGCCTCGGACGCTACGAGCTAGCTGTGTACCGCTAGCTGTGTTACCACAACACGCTGTCCAAAACAAGAACAGTCAGGTGCAGGCAGCTGCAGAGGTAAACACACCAGTCCATTAGCTGTTCCCCCCCCGCCGTGTGCTCAGGTAAGAGGGGGGAGGGTGGGGGGGGGGGAGTCGGGGAGAAGCACTCAGCCGCGTCATCACCGCTATGAAATAGCCAATAAAAGGTGTTTTGAGAAAGCACGAGTCGCTGCGGACGTCCAGCGGCGTTCTCCTGGTGCTCCAGAGCAAAATGCAGGACAACGGGGGACACGGGGGACACGGGGGGAAAAGGGAAACAGAGAAAAGTAATACGGGAACACAAGCTAATGCGAGAGAGGGGGGAGAAAAAGACACCCGGAGTCGGAGATTACAGAGGAGCGGGGGGGGGGGGTGAGAGGAAATGGGAGAGGGAAGTGCACAGCAATTTGTTGGCCTCCTTCCTCCCTTTAAATCATTCTCTTCCTTCTCTTATCAGGGAGGAGCGTTGGTTGCCTCGCGCGCACACACACACACACACACACACACACACACACACACACACACACGTACAAGATAGTCGAGCAGACAAATCCAACTCCACGCTTCCGAGCGAGAGAGAGGGGGAGAGAGGGGAAGAGAGGGAGAGAGGGAGAGAGGCTGCCTGAGAACCTGTTCTGATTTCTGAGAGTCTGCCTGAGGCTCCACGAGTCTCTGACACCCTGTTGGTAAAATATCAGCGGAGCAGATCCACGTCCATATTCATATAAATTCATGAATGAGCGAATCAATAAACCAAATGTCTGTACAGTTCGCGTGTTGATTTTTATTCCACGTTCTTCCTTCTTCAGATGTGACCTTTGACACGGAGGCTCAGCGGAGGCTCTCAGATAGAGATCCTCCTCCGCCCTGTAACCCCACGGTGCGATCTGGCAGTGGGCCGACTCCACAGCTCCAGCAGAGCTTCACGTGACGCCCGTTTCACATCAGACACTCAACTTTCATCTCCGCGCCGTCAATGATTTATTCGGGCTCGCTTTATAGTTTTTCAACCAGGACCTGCATGGTTACGTGTGAATCTGTGGTGCACACAAACACGGCCTCAATGGAAAGTTTTGCGGGGAAAAACCGCTGTTTGTGATGTTCGCTCCGTGGTGTCTCCGTGGTAACAGCGACAGGATTTGTTCTTCGGTAGCTAGCTGACAAGCGAGCGGGCTGAAAAGGTGATCGAAGGATGAAAACGCGGCGCCGCTTATGACGCAATGTGAGGAGTCACACCGCGGGGGGCTTTTCTCCATTAACTCACAGAAGACACCTGCAGCAAGGTCACTTACTGCCCTCTGCGTCCACAAAGGAAGTTGGGTTTCATCTGGGTTCCTCTCTGTCCTCTCCGGCTTCGGGTTGCCCCTTTGATTTGTGTGTTAATTCGCACACTTGCCGCCGCCGCGCTGATTGTTCATTCTTTACATCTGACATTTGGATTAAACCCCTGAGACCAGTGTGCTGTTCAAGTTAAATTGCCCGCGGGTGAAAGCAAATCACCACATCCATCTCTCCCGCCACGTTTTGCCCACTTACTCCTTACTCCAAAGTTGTGACAGTCTTTATTAGGCCTGAGGTTCCTCGCTGGTGCGTTCTCAAGGTTCACCTGGGAGTGTGGGAGTGTATTAATTACGATTTTACCAGCAGACATATTTGGAATCTCAACTCGTACTTTTTCGCGTAACAAACAGCTTTTTTAAAGAGTGAGGGAAAATAAAACCGTTAATTATTAATGGTCCGACTATTAATAATGCAAAGTTTTTGAGCACATTGTAGCGAATCAAAATTTACCAAAAGTCTGGTCAAGGTGGCGCTTTGAATTCATAACGCTGGATAGTTAAAAGAATAACTATTCATGGTATTGAATTATTAAATATTTTGATTCAGAATCTCGGCAACCAGTAAAATGTCGCCTCATGTAGCACAATAAATAAATAAATAAGTACCAAAGTACTCGGAATTCACTAGCAAGGAGCCACTGAATGCGTTTAATGTGAGTCAATGGGTGGTTGATCGATCTCGTCTAGTCGGCCGGTTGGTTGTTGGAGCTACGTTGGGAGTTCGCCCGGCACGGACGAAACATGTGGAACGAGAGAGAGAGAGAGAAAAGAAAAGAACAGAAAAGGGTCGGGAGGGTCGGGTTTTAGAACGCGTACTCGAAAACGACAAGAGCGGGTTAAGCTGTATTTATGGGAACACCGGAAGAGGCGTGTAGGAGGCGTGTAGGAGGCGTGAAGGAGGCTCCCGAAATTACGCTAATTAGCTTCAACACTTAATGAGCAGCTTTCGGCAAATCAAAGAAAGTGACAGCATGTAATTATATGTATATTTAGTATTGCTCTGATTATGGCTGACAACATCCGTGGGTCCACTTCTAATCTGCCGTTGTTTCACTCAATCCGTCGTGTGATCGCACAAGTCCGTGGACACACACATGCACAATGTGGCTCAGAGCCTTGTGCATGTGTGTGTGTGTGCGTGTTGAGAACCGCTGGGTAGCAAACTTACTTTAAATTGCACAAGGAATCGTTTTTTACACCCTGAGGGAAAATTGCAAGACTGTGTGTGTGTGTGTGTGTGTGTGTGTGTGTGTGTGTGTCTCCTAAACTTTCCCTTATAGTAACAATTGTAAAATACAAATACTATTGGATAACGATCAAACACGGCGGTGCACATACGTGTGCTTTGCGTTATGGGTGACTGTGGCTGCACAAGTATGTGTGCATGTAAAAGTAAAATAGGAGCCAAGCCGTTTATTTACACATTCAGCCGCCGCTGGATGCGCTCGGGTCCATTATTCACCCGTTTAGCCGCTTCGTGCTTCACAACCTTCACCGGCTGAGTATTTTTATAGTATTTTATTCATTCTGTTTTACGTTGTTCTCATGAAAGGTTGAGCTGCTTTAGAACGTGTGATTAGAGACAAACAGCGGAGTCCAAAGCGAACTCCCAACAGATTACTGTTTTTTAGTGCTTTTAACAGGCGAAAGCACGTATTTTGTGTGTGTGTCTGTGTGTGTGCGTCTCTGACATTCCCACAGTCGCCCTCCTTTAAACACACAACACCCAGCAGCCCCATTAAAGCCCCTGATCTGTGGCCGTGGCATTTCCCTCCCTTCATCCCTGCTGCCAAACACTGCTCGTGGGGGCCGCTGGCCTTTCATCAGGGGCCGTGTCTGTGCGCTCGTGTGTGTCTGTGTGAGTCTTTTCTCGCCATAATCTCTGATTTAAAAAAAAAACACACACACACCCTGCATCCACATGAGAATAAACGAAGACACACACACACACACACACACTGCAGCAGTTACTGCAGGAGGACGCAGATCAATGCGTTTAAGTGCACAGCGTGTCTGTGTGCGACTCTACTCTGCGTGTACATTGTGACGTGTGCGGGTTGTCATCGTCTCTGCCGCTCGGCATTGCGCTTCAAAAACGCGCAGAGCGGCGCCCAGCTCAGCTCCGTGCTGCTCGCACGCGCACTCATTCTGAAACCGCGAACAAAGGGCCAAACTTCGGTTTGATTTGGTGACCCTTAATTCCGGTGAAAATGAGAAATGTCCCTGTGGTCGCGTCGAGCCGTCGAAGAGTTTCCTTCTCGAGCGGCCGCAGCGTTCTCACTCAGGAGGGGCGGAGCCACTTATGTACCCGATGCTAAAGGAACTAATGACGCTAACCCCTAACCCCTGACCCTTGAGCCTTTTCCCATCTCGACCCTGGGCTCCGACGTCTCTCCTGATCCAAAGCCACAAGCGCGCGTTTCAAAAACACCGGATGAATCGATTCTGAGCCAAACAACCGGGTCTGTAGGCCGGATCAGCGAGAGAGAGAGAGAGAGAGAGAGAGAGAGAGAGAGAGAGTGTGATGGGCTCGAATGGAGAAAAATGAGGGGTACAAACTCCATCGAGTTCACACATTCAGAGCTAAGCACACACGCCGACGTGCCGATAATTGCATCTGCGTTTTTTGGATGTTTGAACGCTGCCCAGGCTGAACTTCGTGACATCCACATATCACACGCACACACACACAGCGGGGGGGGGGGGGGCGGCGGTGACTCACCTTGCCAGCCGGGCTTGCAGGCGGGCTTGACGTCGATGCGCACGGGGACGCCGCGCAGCGCTCTCTTCTGGCCGCAGTCCCAGGCCGTCACCTGGACGTCGTACTGCTGCTGGCGGTCGTAGCTCAGCTTCTCCGTGTTCCGGATGTTACCTCGGGGGAGGAAGAGGAGGTCGAGGGTTTTTTTTAGCATCGTGCTGGTGGAAACTACCAGACTGCCTCCAAACACGGCGAAGTGCACGTCGTTGAAGGTGGAGAGCGTAGATGAAACGATGCTCGCCGCTCATTGTTCTGCATGTAGATTTATGTCAAAACGTCACAGGTAAATTAAAAACAAACACCTGAATGAATTTAGGCAATTACGGTGCTGGTGATCAGTCTGGTTAAGCGGGTGGTGGTGGTTCCACCGGGGGGCCATGTTGGCGTGTCACACACATATTGAAGAGGTTTAGCATGGAGGGGCCCTGAAGCTGTGATCACTGAGCACATTAAGGCTCCTGGTGGCACAAACAACTCAAATGGGTGATTTTGTTCGTTTTTGGTTTTATGTGCTAAAAGATGCTTCTTGGCAGCACTTGAATAGAACATCCTACCAAGTAAACACAGTCATTTATATGCTTTCGGGTGGAAATTGCACTCTGTTATGCTGCTGTAGAACTGATCTGTCTACTTATCTACTTTTCAACTATTTTATTCTTTTTATATTGCTCTAAACTGCGTCTTTTTTAAACCTCATCAAGCATTGACTTGAAAATCTCTGGATTAAGAACCGTGCTTCTGGAAGTTATTATGAAAACATTTTTATTCTGTAATAAACATCATTCACCCAAATCAGTGATTGAGAAATAGTCCGTATAGCTTCTTGCTACAGAGACGGACTTTATGGAGTCATAAGACGGAGGAGTGAGATTTTACAGTTAAACGCAGTAATAAGAAATAAGCAACAGGTGATTTCAGACTCATCAGGAATCAGGAAACATTTATTGGCCAAAATATGTCAAACATACAAGGAATTTGTCTTGGCGGTTAGTGCGCGACAGTAGACAGACAAGACAACAGTGCACAGGTAATAAGATAAGGTGGAATGAAATGCTAATGCAATGGGTTAGTAAGAATAAGGCTAAGGCTATGGGTTAGTAAAAAAACAAGGGAATAAAGTTAAACAAATTTTAAATATTAAAAAGTTAAAAAGAAAAGTATTAAGCATAAAGTGCACTAACAAACAAGTAACAGACAAGAGACAAAGTGACAAGTGACAAGGTGATGAATTGCAGTTAAAGTGGCATGTGCAGTGTGAGGGGGAGTGACCGGTGGAGTGTTATAGTCAGGCAGTGGGGGACCGGGCTCTGTTGATGAGCCCGACTGCCGACGGGAAGAAACTGTTCGTGTGGCGGGAGGTCGTAGTCCTGATGGACCTCAGCCTCCTGCCAGATGGAAGGGGCACAAACAGTTTATGTCCGGGGTGAGAGGGGTCGGCCGCGATCTTTTTAGCTCGCTTCAGAGACCTGGAAGCGAACAAGTCCTCCAGGGACGGCAGATTGCAGCCGATCACCCTCTCTGCAGAGCGGATGACACGCTGCAGCCTGCCCTTGTCCTTGGCTGTGGCTGCAGCGTACCAGACGGTGATGGAGGAGCAGAGGATGGACTCGATGATGGCCGTGTAGAAGTGGACCATCATCGCCTTTGGCAGGTTGAGTTTCTTCAGCTGCCTCAGGAAGAACAACCTCTGCTGAGCCTTCTTGGTGATGGAGCTGATGTTCAGCTCCCACTTGAGGTCCTGGGTGATGATGGAGCCCAGGAAACGGAAGGAATCCACAATAGTGACGGGGGAGTCACACAGGGTGATGGGGGAGGGTGGGGCTCTGTTCCGCCGGAAATCCACAACCATCTCCACTGTCTTTAGAGCGTTGAGCTCCAGGTTGTTCTGGCTGCACCACGACACCAGATGGTCAGACTCCCACCTGTAGGCGGACTCGTCCCCACCAGAGATTAGTCCAATGAGGGTGGTGTCATCCGCAAACTTCAGGAGCTTGACGGACTGGTGGCTGGAGGTGCAGCTGTTGGTGTACAGGGAGAAGAGCAGAGGGGAAAGAACGCAGCCTTGGGGGGAACCGGTGCTGATGGTCCGAGAGGCTGAGACATGTTTCCCCAGCTTCACGTGCTGCTTCCTGTCAGACAGGAAGTCTGTGATCCACTTGCAGGTGGAGTCGGGCACGTGCAGCTGGGAGAGTTTGTCCTGCAGCAGAGACGGGATGATAGTGTTAAAAGCAGAGCTGAAGTCCACAAACAGGATCCTGGCGTAGGTTCCTGGGGAGTCCAGATGCTGAAGGATGTAGTGGAGGGCCATGTTGACAGCATCGTCCACAGACCTGTTGGCTCTGTAGGCGAACTGCAGGGGGTCCAGGAGGGGGTCGGTGAGGGACTTCAGGTGGGACAGGACTAGCCGTTCAAAAGACTTCATGACTACAGAGGTCAGGGCGACGGGCCTGTAGTCATTGAGTCCTGTGATCCTGGGCTTCTTGGGGACAGGGATGATGGTGGAGGCCTTGAAGCAGGCTGGTACGTGGCATGTCTTCAGGGAGGTGTTGAAGATGTCAGTGAACACCGGAGACAGCTGGTCAGCACAATGCTTCAGGGAGTGAGGGGAAACGGAGTCCGGACCGGCTGCCTTACGGGGATTTAGTCTTCTAAAGAGCCGGTTAACGTCTCTCTCCAGAATAGAGAGGGTCGTTGCTGGTGGGGGAGGGGAAGGTGATAATGATGAAGAGGCGTGAGCACCTGATGGGCTGGGGGAGGGAGGGGAGGGGGACTGCGGCAGGTTGGTGGAGCTGTGGGGGATGGGAACAGGACATTGTCTTTCAAATCTGCAGTAGAACTCATTGAGCTCGTCTGCCAGGCGGAGGTCATTCATGGAGTGGGGGGGTTTTGGCTTGTAGTTGGTGAGGTGTTTGAGGCCTCTCCAAACCGAAGCAGAGTCACTTGCTGAGAACTGTTGTTGGAGTTTCTCAGACTACAGTCGTTTAGCGTCTCTCACCGCCTTGCTAAACTTGTATTTTGCCTCTGTGTACAAGTCTTTGTCCCCGCTCCTAAATGCCTGATCCTTCTGCAGGCGTAGTGTTCTGAGTTCCGCTGTGAACCAGGGTTTGTCGTTGTTGTAACTCACCCTGGTGCATGATGGTACACAGCTGTCCTCACAGAAGCCGATGTAGGAAGTTACAGCCTCTGTGAACTCATCCAGACTGTCAGTAGCAGTCTTGAAACCATCCCAGTCTGTGCAGTCAAAGCACGCCCGAAGATCCTCCAGCGCCTCACTGGTCCACAACTTCCCTCAACCTTCAAATGTATTCTCAATGGGTGGTACTGAATGGGTATTTCATTTAAATGATAGAGCATCATTAAGGAACTGTGATGCCTTAATATCATCACTGTGACCAATGACAGGAGGGTGAACCCTTTAATGTTGAAACTAACCCCATGAAAGGCACATATTCATCTTCATACTATGGCTTTAGAGGAAATGACCCCGATTACATCATCATGCGATAAAGTGTGGAACTTTGTGGGAAGCCTCTAAAACTTGGTTGCTAATGGGCGCGTTGCATTTTGGGTAATAAAGGTTTCGACCCCCAAAAAATTGAATTCTAATTCTTTGGCATCCGTCTTGATCCTTTGTCCTTGACATCTTAAATACGGCCTTGTGTCACAGCGTTGCTGCTCAGCTTTCTTCATTGATTCACATGGTGACACAACGCACGATGTGCTACGTGTTGCCTGAGTAACAGCAAGCGAGGGAGTCGTGGATGTTTGTGCAAATACAAAATATAGGTGTTTTTTTAGATTTAATCTTCATGAAAAAGAGACGGACGGACTGACAAACGAAACGGAAATCAGGGAAAACAGAAAAAAGGGACGTCGACACAAAACCAACGAGCCGCTCGTCCGCGCGGCGCGACGAGCACCCAGAGGCCTCCTGGTCTCCCGCCTGGTCGGGAGCCACCGGCTCCTCTTCCCCGCGCGCCACAAGCGCTCGGTTAATATTTGATAAGCCGCGATTGACGACGCTAAACACACCAAACCCGCGGGGAAGCGGAGAGGAGCACCGCCGCCGCCTCCGCCGGCCCCCATTGGCTGCGGGTCGGGAGTTGGCGAGCGGATCCCTGCGGAGGTTTCTGTATTGTGGGGAGAGACGAGCGCGGGGAGCCTGAATGCTGATAATGTGATATATTTGAATACGGGAGTGTGAGGGCGGGAGGATTAGGTGTGATTCACACCAGGGCGGCTTTGTTCGGCTCCCCCCCCCCCTCTCCCCCTCCGCCTCCTCCAACCCTCCCGTTCCGTTTCGACGCACATCATTGTCTCGTCCCGTCTCTGCTTCCCTTTCTTTCCAGGAGCGGGTGCGCGACGCCGGGTCGTACCCCTCCGATTACCACCATCAACGGCCGCGCTGGCCTCCGTCTCGCCGTCTCCACGTGCTTCTCTATCGTCCGTGACGCCAGATCCATCCGTTGTCCCTTTGCTTTGCCATGCAAACACAGAGCATTGATGCTGCCACCCGTCTCTCCCTCGCTCTCCTCTCCCAGTGTGCGTTGTTCCCGCTGAGGTCAGAGGTCACAAATACGTGGTCATCTCCCCAGGACTAATGGGCAAACAATGATCAACAGGAGTAAAATCCGGGGTTCTTGTGGACTATTTCCAGTTGCCGATTAATATGCATACTGGAACATTTCTAATATCCAGCAAACAGTAACTCCACTGGTTCCATGAAGAAGTCTCCCCGCATGGGAATCCATGAGCAAACCTCCTTGATTGATTCTCTGGGTAAACAGTGTGAACATTACTTTATGGTCTCAATAGACGTGTTCATGTTCATGGCAATGTGACCCAGTGGAACAATGTCGCTCTCAGATGTTTCTAACGGTTTAAAAGTTTCTCAAGCTCTGGCTCCACACGTCTCACAGGCAACTCCTCCTCGCCTCCCTCCATCGCTCTCTCTCTCAGGTGCTCTTGAGTTCAAGAGCTCTCGAAGCCTTTTCCTCAGCGGTCAATGGCTGAGCGAGACCCCTTGAGAAGAAAGACCCCCTCCCCCCCCCGTATCACTCCCAGGGTAGTTTTGCCCTCACTTCAGCCGCTCAACCTTCTTACTGAGCATCTCAGCAGCGGGCGAAGCTCGGCGGTCTGCAGCTGAAAAACACTTAAGGTGTGTCAATGTGTCTTCCGTGTCTCCTGCACAGGACAAATAAGTGTGTTTGCAGTTGCTAAGAGGACCGTTGTGTTTTTTCAGACAGTAGTAAACACGGAGAGGGTTAAAGCCCACATTCAAGTGTGCGCTCAAGGATCTCATTTATCGAGCTGTTGAAACAAAAAAGACACAAATCTTGTGTGTCCATAACAATCAGTAGAGGACATGATATTGGAGAGAACACACACTCTGGGTTTGTGTGTGTGAGTATAAATAACTACAGTTGATTTGAATGTTAAAGCGAGAAAGTCAAGTACATCGGAAAGGTAATTTCCGAGTGTTTGATTTCTCTTGCGTTTGTCGGTACGTATTTATCATGTTTTTGTGATTTGATTGGAGGTGACTGACGGCTCTCTGGGTGAAGCTCGACGTTGTCCTTGAAAAGAGCCAAGAACACCATTTCCCCCAGGCAGAGACATCTGCGAGCTTATTAAGCTTTGCTACCAGGGTGAACGCAGGTGCACATGTAGGGTGGATGGGTGGGATTTTTAGATCAAGGCAGTCGCCGTGTTATCTCAAAGGCATCATGACAGAAAGCAGCCGGCCGAACGTGCTTGGTGACGACACAATGACACTCATTTCATACCCTGTGAGGCAAATACTGGCACATCTTGTATAAAACCCCTGCTTCCCGTATGCTGCACTCACCATTGCGGTCTATAGCGAACGGTGTGCTGGTGGTGGTGATCTGGTAGTTGCAGATCTGGCTGTACTGCGGGGAGCAGTCCTGGTCAGTGGCCTCCACCTGCAGGATGCTGTCGTAGATCTTGCCCTCGGTCACCGCGGCTCGGTACTCGGGCTCCCGAAACACGGGGGCGAACTCGTTGACGTCGTTGACCTGGATGTGCACCACGGCCCTGGAGGGGAGAGGAAGGAGGGATCGGTGGATAGAAGGCTATCATCGGCATACTGAATGACTCTATTTGACAACCAACAGTCACGCTCTTTGTGTACCTGACCTGCCGCAATGGGTTGCTTTGATTGTGTTGCTATGGTAACACGATCCCAGGGATCTCTTCATCTACCACATGCAGAATTCTTCAAGAGACTAAACTTCACTAATTCATAATTCCAAGTGATCCATCAGCAGTAATTCATGTTGAGTCACACGCTGGGAATAACCCCCCCTCCCTCATTCATCACTTTAGGAAGCCTTCATCGATACTCTCCGGCGGGCATGAGGCAACAGATTGCATAATCAATCCTTCGATTGATTGACTGACAGCCGGTGACGGATGACGATGGGATGGACTAATACAGTTTTAAGCATCGAATGGCAGAACGTGCCAACTAGAGCTCAAAGACAAATGGGGCCAAAACGAGAACGCGGTTTCTAGGATTAGTTGTGCTATTTAAATAAACTGAGGTTATCTCCCCGACATGTGGCTGGCTGGAGAACGGAGGACAAAGACAAAGAGAGGACGTCCACACTCTGTCCCTCCGGCCACGAGGGCGCAAACCACTGGCCACCAATAACAGATAAGGGAATATAAGAAACACAAAGAAGTGGAATGGGGAGGGGCGTCTTTGCTGTCTGTACCAAGACATATTTCACTGTAAATGTGGATATTTGAGCGGGAAAATGTGACAAGAGGGATTTAAATAAAAATGTTGTAATTGACTGGATGGCTCAATAAGGCTGTTTTATCTATTGCAGAAGACCGCGTGTTCACTGGAGCATTATTCGTGGGTTTAAACGCTGCTTAAAAAGCAGAATGTATCTTCAGGGTTTTCTCAATGAACTGAATGCTTCCCCCCCCCACTAGGTACCGGTAGGGAATGCACAAACGAACACCCATGAGACATGATTAATGGCTGCGGTTTAGGATTTGTTGGATGTTAACAGCGATGCTAACGGCAGCGAAGGTGGTGATAAGAAGCCCTGACAGATGACGGCGCCACCGGTCGGTGCAGTAAATCCCTCAGCCGGCCTTGTTTTGTCATATTAATGACGCTCGCTCATAAACATTACCCCCCCGCGGTGAGGGAGGAAAACATATGTTCCACTCCTCCGGGGCTTGTATGGAGGGGCATCTGTGTGTGATTATGCATGCAAGTCCATGACACATATCTAAATGCAATAATTGTGAAAACATTCACTCTTGAGGATGCAGGGCCTCCTCAGTCGTTGCGGCGTAACACCGGTACGAGCGGTACGTGAGTCTTATGCCGGTATACCGGTTGGACCGGTTTGAATTGCCTTAAATTGGACATTTTAGAAGCAGAAATGTCCGTTTTGGCAGTTGACCCCAGTTGACCAATCAAAGACTCCAAAACACTGTTTACTGACGTAAAAAAAACAATATTTTATCTCATAATAAGGAATGAGAAGATTTTTGCAATCATTTTTAGCGGTTTGAATATCTTATTATGAAATGAAGCTATGGAGACGCGTTTCAGTGCCAAGTGCGATTCGCATCCAGCGAAATCATAGTCAAAAACAATCAGAAAGCAGCTGCATGTCAAAGCCAGGTGATGCATGTTAATGCCAGGTGAGCATTGTTCCCGGCTTATTGCATATTCATCCGCTCTTATTCTTTATCAAGCCGCAGCAACACACAGCAGCTCCAGCAGCGTCATTATCGAATACCTCCTTTGTGCACACACACACACGCACACACACGCACACCTGGCACGCACGCCTTCACGCACAACACACAACAGGAAGGCAGAGGACTCAATTAATCTTTGTCAAGAATTAGCCCGGAGGTTGAATCATTCATTTCCTGGTGTAAGGCTGGAATGGAAATAAACAACCCTAACTATGCCGATGGGACGGTAACCTCATCAATATGCAAGAAAACCATCGACTGGCCCCCCGAGGGCCCTCGAACCGAGCCCCCCCCCACCCCCCCGGGGCCCCCTGTTGATCTCAACACGAGGTGGATTCAATGCGTTGTAATCCAGTTCGGCTTCCTGCTCAGATTCTGTTTCATTTCAAATCATTGATGCGGAGGAAGGGATCCTCTCAGTCATATGTATTTAGCATTGAAGGAGGGTCCGTTTACCAGACGAGCTCCCGGGCCCCGAGGGGCCGCGCGGTTTGAATCCAACCGGTGGCGCTTTCCTTCGTCCTAAACTTGAAACCACACTCCACACTATCAAAGATGAACAGCATATTCCTCCTCCAGATGTATTTATTTTTTGCAATGAATCCCTCCTCTTCCTCGCCGACGATGATAATGACGTCAACTGAGGGGGTTTTGACAGAATGAGGTTCCCCTCCTGTTGGGGTCGAGAGTGACGACCGTGCAGTTGAGATGAGAATAATGCGGAGACGCTGTCGGGGACGCAGAGCGTCTGTGAGGACGCCCCCCGGTCCTCTCGCTGCGTAAAGACAGCTCGCGCTAACGCGCCACGGCTTCTGGCCCACTTCTCAACTCACAAGAAAGGGACTTTTTTTTTTCCCTGTGTGTTTTCGGATGTGCTCGTGATGTGTGTCCGGGCGTCTCCGGGCCGCGTACGAGATGCACGAATCCGTCCCCAGCTGCTCGCTGAGATAAATAGTCTCTCCTAACTGAGGTCGGGACTTACAGGCCTCTACGGGTCACTAATACCGCTTTAATAACGTCGATGTGCGGCTGCACTGACACGTTAAAAACACACACACACACACAACGTCGACTGACTCCAAGCACTTAACCCCCCCCCAACCCGGGCCGAGGTTAAGTAGACGCTCCGTGATTAGGTGCGGGACCCCGGGGGGGATCCTGGATGTGACAGGCTCCCGCGTGCCTAATTACTCCGCGTGCACGGGGGGGGAAAGGGAAGCTAATGAGTGAGATTAAACAGGTGTTTTTTAGACTGTAGTCAAGCCAGAAGGCCTTCGGGGGCGGGGGGGGGGGGGGGGGGGGGGGGGTGTTTGGAGGATTCTATTCAGGCGGTGGTGAATATTAGGACCTTTTTTTTAAAAGGTGTAAAGAAGGAACACAGCGAACTTGCCCTCTTGGATGCCAAAGGGCCTTTTATCGTCCTGCGGTAGATAAAACGCGAGGTGGCCCAGAGAACCACAGGGGGTCACAGGAGTGTTTTATTCAAGGCGACGCTTAGAGCCACACGAGGGAAACCGAAGGTCGACATCAGCGTGACGATTCTTTCATCGCGTCCAGAGTGAAGGAGTGCATATCTCTCTGTCTGCCGATGGAAGGCGAGAAAAGAGGCTGCTGCCGATGAATAATTGAACGCGCGCCGGGCGTTCTGTCATCTCAGACACATGCGTCAAACTAATCTGAGATTTGTTGAACATGTGTCTCTTTGCAAATGCTGGTTTACATTTTTTAAGACGTCGTAACAAAGTAAAGATGGTTAATATTCATAAAGCGAGTTCTTTTTATTCGCTCCTACAGTCCAAAAATGTGCATTTCTTTGTGAAGTTGAACTGCGATCCATCCAATTAGCTTTTGAGATATTGTGGTCTGTTTTGATGTTCTACATGTCGGCAGCCCGAGACGCAGCCCGCAGCCCTCACAGTTGCTATTTGTTGATAAAGTTTTAATTCAGTTCCAATCTCATGGCTCTTTTCAGCAGACCAGCGCTGCTCGGGCACCAATTCCATTCTTGACAAATGACAAAAGTGCGAATCGCCATCGCGTCACATCACCGAGGGGCCGGAGCTCTTCACACTTCAGCACAAATTGTTCATCTGGCAGAGGTCAGCGGCACGCTACTGTAGATTAATGCGCGCTTCATTTAAAGCTGAGCCGAGCAGAAACGGTCCCGAGGAGTTCAAGGTGAATTCGTTTGAGCTTCGCACTCTGCTGGCGTGTGACTCGGGAGGAAAAAAAAGGCCGCTGTGCACGTCAATGTTTGTGAGGCCGGACGCCAAGAAGGAAAAAAAAACACACAACTGTTTCTGTCACATTGGGAGGCGGATTTGTACAGCGCGGCGACAGCGAGGCAGCGGGACGAAATGCTCAAAGGGCCGAGGGAAGGACGCGGTCGGACAGCGGGCAGCATGAATAAAGGATGAGAAGCGGCGGGCCGCGGGCCAGGGTGGCGTTTAAACCCACGCCGCGTCAATCCCGAGCCGCTGGCCCGTCCCCCCTTAGCCGCTAATTCTCCGCAGTGTCGCCGCGCTGTGTGTAATGTGAGCGAGGCCTCGGGCGCCGCCGCGGTTCCCGCTAAACCGGAGCAGGGGAGCCGTCCTGATCCTCAGAGAGACGTCAGCGAAAGCTCATTTCAAGTGTCCCCAAACCCTCTAGCCGGGCCTGGCCGCGGTACGCCGATAGAAAGTAGCAGTGTGACCATAACGATATGAAACATGATCAACAAAATGGAAAGAGGCTGCACGGATACGTTCTTTTTTTTAATGTTTTGTTGCCCTGAGCAACCAAAGTCTCACATACGGTAAATAGAAGACACGCTCGAGTGGGCTAGAAAACCCCCGCTGCTGTATCTCAAGCTCCAGTGTGTGTGTGTGTGTGTGTATAAAATGGACAAGATGATAGATTTATGTGCCGCGCTGCACCGTTGGCCGAGGTGAAGAGACGGTCGAGACCAAGACACCGAGGGGGGACATGTGCAGGTCGTCGCCCCAAAGAGCGGTTTGAGACCGAAGCTGCTTCCAGGACGGCAAACAGGCGCGACAAATGGCTTTTAAAGTGGTTAAAGGGAGGAAGCTGCTAGAAATACTTTACATTAACTGGCTAAAAGAGTAGAACCAATACTCTACTTTCTCCCTTATTGCCTTTAAGTGTACAATATTGCATGCGGTACACACAGGACGTCCCCACATGGTCCAAAGACTTTATTGTAAGTCCCTTAGGGTGAAAGCGAGATAAATGTCATGAATTTATATTTAGTTTCCTTTTAAAATGGAGTCACAGAGTTCACACAGTGCAGCTCAAAGTCTGGACCATCATTTCAGTGTTATACATTTAAAAAGAGCAGGTTTAATGCAGTCTTTCTTTTCACTTTCATCCAGCAGAAGAAACTTGCTAAAGGGACTCAATCAGTCAGTAGTCCTCAAATCATCTTGGTGTTTTCGTTAATTCAGGAGGAAAACACGGAGAATAATATTCAAAATACAATTAAATGTTGCACCAGTTCGACCGTCTTCTTTAGCAATACTGAGCATCGTTAGTGAAATCGATCCGCTCCTCGATGCACCTCTGGGAATGATGGACTAGTTGTGGTGCGTGAACCTTTCTGACGTCGGCACCAGCAGCATTTCCTCATGAGATTGTTGGCAATCTTTTCTGCGTGGGCGGCGTGGGCGGTGGTGCACCGCCCGGCCGTCGTGGGTGAACTGGTCCAACGGTCCAGAGCCGCTGTTCATCCCTCCGGTCCGCCCCTGATCATCATAAAGAACCTTTGCCTGGTTGTCTACCTGCCCCCTTTTTGTTCGGAAAGGTTTGTCAGGAATGTTCCCGGAAGAACCTGGAGGAGAACATCTGTGCCGGCAGCCTGTTGGGGCTCCGCTCCAAACGCCCACTTCCACCCTTTGTCTCCTCGGTAGTCGTGGTTCCTTCCAAAAACGCTTCCAATCTTCCAGCTTAGCGCCTCGTTTTATTGAACTTAAGCCATTTTCTAAATGAATGATGAATTAAGCAAAAAGTACTTGTAGTTTTACATAATTTAGCCCGAGTGTTTTTATATGAATAATGAAGAGGTGTGTTTATTTGATGCCCGAAGAAGGACACTTCTTTCCTTTTCAGAGTCCTTTTGCAGCAATTCATTCTAAAAGCATGAAGTCAAACCTAGAAACCCCATCTTTTGCCCCACGTGAATCCTCAGCATGTCCTTGTGCAACCTCCCCCCCCCCCCCCCCCCCCCTCCACTGCAGTCTTACTCACTTGTGGGACTTTTTGACCTCCGCGCCCCCGGGGCCTGAGCCGCAGTCGTGAGCCTGGATGATGAAGGTGTATTCCTTCTGCAGCTCGCAGTCCACCAGGCCGCGGGCCCTCAGCTGGCCCTCACCGGACGTCCCGTTCAGCACCACGCCTTTGAAGAGGGCCCCCACCCCTGGGATTTTAAAGGAAAATTTTTCCCCTAAGGCCCGGGGGGGGGGGGGGGGGGGGGGGGGGAGAGGAAGAGGTGTTAATCGCAGTCAGTCAGGCGGAATACAGTTCAGTCTTGTTGGCATTTTAATCAATCAATTTAATGCTTTTTCTTTTTTTTATATATTTTAAAACGGTCAATTTTAAATAATTGAATTTTTTTTCCAATACTGCCAAATACAGAAACGTCGTGATTTATTTTTCTTTCTTTCCCCGGGTCAAACGTCCGTCGCCACTCGCGGACGAAGCAAACGCGAACTCCGACAACTTGTGAAACGACAAAGTGACGAGGACACAAAAAGCACTAATGGCCCCAGAGAACACGAAAAAACACGACACAAAGCACAGGCGACACGAGGTGAAACACGACGGCGACAAAGGGAGGAAAATCCGCTCAACTGCGGGAGGAACAGAGCAAAGAGGCCGGTGGCGTTCGTCAACCCGCCCGCCTACACAAAGTGCTCCATTTGTGAGGGAAGTTGTTTCATTCTTCTTTTGTTACTTCTCTCTCTCCCCTTTTCTCCTCCGCTCGACGGCGCCCGGCCCCCGCCATTCCCGGGGAAATCTCTCCCCCCCCAGCGGCCCGGCTCGCACTCTGACCCGCCACGGCTAATTGCGCCGAGGTCACTTAAGCTAACGGGCGGAGGCTAAATCGGACCCGAGCGGCTTTGTGTGCAGCGCCGCTCCCGGCGACTTCTGATAAGAGCAACTTTATTTTCTGCCGCCTTCCCCGTTCTCCCCCCCCCCCCACCCTTTTTTTTTACCCTGTTTCCGTCACAATCCCCCGCCTCACCCTTCCTGTCGGGACGGCGCCTCTGAAATGAGCTACAGGAGGAGGAGCTACAGGGGAAAATGATGAAGAAACGGGGGGGGGGAATTGGGGAGCGGGGGAGCTGTGGGGACGGGGGGGGGAGGACTCTCTTTTACTCCCAACAAAAACTCATCAAGGGTAAACGGGGCCCCACACATGGGAGGAGCTCAGACCTCGTTTACACGATGGGAAACGCGTTCGGGCTTTCCGTTTACACAAAAACGAAGGGTTAATCACGGGAAACGATCATTTCTAAAAACTCCGGCCGAAGCGGAGATTTCTGAAAACTCTGTTTTTGTGTTTGAACTCGGTCCAACGGAGTTCTAGGTTGTCATTTCTTTATTTCGTTTGCATGTCTTTATCCTTCTCGTTACGCCGCCGACCACAGGTTTGGCGTAGTTACGATGGCGTCCGGAGGCCGTATTTATGCGGGTTCATATAAACGGAAACTCTTTTGAAAACGGAGGGGCAGAAATATTCGTTTCTGTAAATACCCGGCTGTGTGTAAATGTGGCATAAAGTAGTACGAGGGCATCCAACCTAAAGCTTGAAGCGGAATAATCAGGGTGCAAACTAATAAGGATGAGAAACAGCTTCATTATATTTATGCCATTTCATCCATTGGTTCATCCGCCGGCTTCAATACACCTTCAGTCCTCCGTGAAGCATTTCTGAAACCTTTGATTCCACTTGACTCCTCAAGTCAAGCCCCCGTGGCCGTGGTCAGCCAGCGTCCCCCACGGGCGCCGTTTAACTCTCCGTTTTTTATCAGGTCAAAACACGAATGTGTGTCTATTAGTCGGCGGGGGGGTGGTGGGGGTGGGGGGGGGGGGGGACGCGCGGTCGGGACTCGTCGGGTGTCAGAAGTCGTGCCGGGCGCTCGAAACCCACCTCGAGGGGGGAACCTGGCGCCCGTCCACAGAAAAGACTGTCTTTGAGGACACGCAGCTCGTTATCAGTAGAGGCAGAGACGCTTTACTGGCAGCGGCGGCGGCGCCCGCCTCCTCGTGAAACACGGGGGGGGGGGGGGCTCCTTCCGCTCCGAAAGGAAGAGGGCGGCGTCGCACATAAGTGCACGGAAACAGAGGAAGAGGAGGAAGAGGAGGGTACGGGGTGATGAAAGGAGGAGCTGGAGGAAGATGAGAACAAGGCCAGCAGCCCTCGATCTCCACTACTGGAGTTTGACCAAAGAACACACACACACACACAAACATACACACACACGCGCTCACACATCACACACACACACATTTCCTCGCCAGCTCGGCAGCTCTGATCGGCGCTGACAAGCTTTTCATCCTCCTACTGTTGGAACACACACAGTGAAGCAGATTACTGGGTATCACACTGCTGAACCAGGCGGCGGGATGGCTGGCACTCGGCCGCGTTGCATCGTGATGTTTCCCCCCCCCCGCCGTTGTTAGTGAGCCCCCGCCCCGTTGGCAGTCAGAGTGGCCGTCCACCGCGCGGCTTTACGCGGCGGTCACGGTTTCAGCCGCACTTTTCCAATTTGGATTTGGCGTATTACGCTTTCTCGTATTAGTCACCCGCGTAACCCGCTAATACCTCCCCCCCCGCCCCACCCCTCGAAAACACCCACAAGGACACCCCCACCCCCCCCACCCCGGCTGCTGTGCGGCCTCGCGGCGCTGCTGCAGAGGGCCGGAATAGGAAGTGCTGTAATTATGCTCTTCATGAAATTAGCCAGCCGAGGTGAGAAAAAACAGTGGAGATAAAGATGAACACTCGCCGATCGCACACGCTCTGAGCGCTGTTTGTGTACCGCGTGCAGAGTGGCAGGCGGATGGGGTTTTTAATTAAAGAGGCGCTGCTCAGCGGCAGCTTAAAGGGGAGGAGGGTGGAGGAGGGTGGAGGACGGGGGGGGGGATTTACTCGACCTTGCGTTTGCCACCCCTCGTCTCGTCCCTCTTAATTACATTAAAGGCCTCCTCTCACGCAGTTAACACCGTTTCTGCTGTCTTCTAACAGCGAGGCGCCAACCGTCTGCACTGCTAGTACACAGGACTGAGGGTGGGGGGGCAGTGAGGGTGGAGGACTGAGGGTGGAGCACTGGAGCTGTCCATCACGTCTATGCAGCGTTGTGTATCCTCATACAGTATGAAATCAGTTCCTCTTGACCCATCTATTTATCCCGGCTCATGCATTGATGCATCATAAAGCCACGGGCGGGGTGGGGGGGCCTCGCTGACCCCACCCGCCGGCAGAGAACACCACCCGACAGCGCTCATAAATCAAGTGTCTCGAAGCAGAGAAGCTCCGCTATAGGCAGCAGCTTCTGGATCTCCTCATCTCACCGGACGGCCGAAAACGTCGATGCGCTTTTGGCCTCAGCGGCTTGAGGGGCCCGTTAGCTCTGCCAACCCCCCCCCTGATCCCCCTGACCCCCCCGCCCTGTGTACAGTGTCAATAAAGTTAATCACAAAGCCCAGCGGGCGACGTGTCAATTACCCCCGGCCAGGACCAGAACGTCGCCGGACCGTCGATTAAAAGAAAACGGCATCCGCCTCGAACGTATCGGTAAACACAAGCGCCTCAGTTTAATCAGGGAAGAGGAGGGGGGGGGGGGAAAGGGAAGAAGGGAGGAGGGGGGAAAAAGGGGGGGCATCTCAGCCGGGGACGTGAAGGACAAAGCTGCCACCTTTAAACTGTTAAGAAGTCATTCTTGTGGCGGCCGAAGCCTCTCCGGGGATGTTATTTTTATGGCCATTTCTAAAGCCACATGAATCTCCAGTGAAAGGTCCACTGCGCACAATGGCTGGATTACACCCCCCCCCACTCCTTCCCCCCCTTCATTATTTGGCATATTGTAGTTGGATTACATTTAGATTACGCACAATTATGTGCTTCGAGTGAAAGGCCGATAATTCACTGGGTTAGCACATGAGTTATTACCATAATCTATACGCTGTGACTGGCGAATAATGTCGAGAGCGAGAGGTTTTAACGAAACACCGACGAGGCAATCACATTAAACACAGCGCGGAATCAATAGCTTCTATTCTCCAATCCTGTTCGTGGAAACGGGCCCCGGGGGGAGAGCGTGTGTCCTTGTCTGAGCAAGGCCAGTTAGAGTTCAATGTGTTCAAATATCCGTATCAGAGTTTATGACCCCCCCCCCCATTAACGCCCCTGAGGACGTTCTCAGCACATCTGAGCTGCACGCCGCGACTGAGCCCTTCGCCTCTTGGACCGTGGACGAGGTGCATTAGATCCGAGGGTCAAGCAAAGCAGAGCAAATCCAACGACAACCACACGACTGAACGTAGAGACGGGCTTTCGTTGATGGAAACGTGAGAAAAAGGAAAACCGCCAAACTCTCGTAATGTAATCCGGTAGAAGGAAAGCCAACGGGTGGATTATGAGAAGCTTAATCTAAAGACATTCCTCTTAAAGAAATACTTCACCAACTACACTAAAGGCTGTGAGCTGAACATTTCCTTCAACTGACCAGAGGACGCCGTCACGCGGCTTCAAAGGTCCCTGTTAGCGGCGCGACAATCGCAAAGTAATAAATCCATCAATTTGAAAAGGATCCCGAGAGGTGAAAACTCACACCTCGTATTCTCACCACAAGTCATCAACACTTACTGCCCCCAAAGTCCCAGTTCAGGGTACCGGTGCTGAAACGATTGCTCCCGCCGTCGCCCCAAAAAACGCGGCCTTTGAGCCATCGATCTTTACAGCGCGCCCAGCTGTTCGCCGTCATCCCCCCCCGCTGAGTGTTGGCGGACACACGGCTCCCCTCGGCCCCATTTAGCCCGCTCATGACTCAGCGGAAAAGCGGCGTTCGGGGGCCAAAAGCCAAACGAAAAACGGCAGTTTGCTTGTGATTTATTTTCTGCCGTTGATGAACGCCGCCGCGGAGGAGTTCAGGGGGAAAAGGGGCTGTCAGCGCGCTGGGCGAAGCACGCAACGGGTGCTCGGGTTGTTCTCGCTCTGCGAGAAGAGCTGCGCCCGTGTTCTAAATGCAACTTGCCGTGTGTGACGTCGCCCCGTTTGAGAAGCGCCGGCGAGGCCGTCCTCGCTAACGAGCGCCTTGGGCCGGCACCGCGAGACTGCGAGAGGCGAGGCCCTCAGTGACACCGGTGTTTACCTCCGAAAAGGGGGGAGTAGGAGGGGAGGAGGGGGGAAAG